CCAAAATGGTGGCGTCGGAATCACCTTCGAGAGCTGCCTCGCGCTGGTATTCCTCGTATGGAACCAATTCTGGCAATGTGATAGGGATGAACGGTTTCATGCGGATTTCATACCGGAGTCGGTCGCTGGAATATGCTTGGGGAGACGAAGCAGACGGGAGCACATTGTGCCGGGCCAATACAACATACAATGCATGTAGAGCAATCGCAAATGCATCCACCGCAATGATATGCGTAGTCAACCTCTCTAGCGCGTGGAACGATCGGTGGAACGCGGACGCATGTCGAGAGGAACTCCCAGAGTGCTCGTCAGTAGACATCAAGTTGCGTTTTCGTGCAGCCACAGTAAACGTGCGAATGCGATCAATATGGCCGAGATGTGTAGAGCAAATATGAGAAAGATACCAGTACATGCCCGGTAGCTCTTCCGGGGAGTAGATTGACAACTCAAAGCCCATCTGGAGAATGAGTCGGAACTGGAGGAGCTTCTGGTGATAGGCCCAGCTACTAAGTGGGAAAGACCAGGTCGGTTCGCCGCCCTGGAATTGCAGAGGTGGTTCCCCACTCAAAGTGCGGAGCTCGAGGTCCATTTCTTCCGCCTACATTAAGTCAGCATTAATACTCAAATAGCAAAGAGACACGAGGCAGGACTCACCTCGATCTGTAGATTATCCCAATCGACGAGAGTATGGCAGAGTGTTCGGCGCATGCGACACCTATTGAGACATGCGCATCGCACAGTATCAACAAACGGCTGTGAGGGTTAGCAAATGGGACATGTCATGATCTACATGTTCACTAACCTGGGCGAATCGCTTCATGAAACCATCCATCTTCCGAGCAATCTGGAACCGAGGATCAGACGGCACTTCCACTTCTTCAGTGTTAGCCTCGAGTAAAATACTAGCAGGTAAGACGAGTTCCGCGAGCTCATCGTGTAAGAACTCTTTCACAGGTACGGTACCGAGGATCGTCATGTTGCTGACAATCAATGCCTGAAGAAGACAACGAATATAAATTGACGGCTGTGGTTTTCGAGAGAGCAAAGTCCATACGGCAGTCTGTAAAACAAGTTAGTGCTAGGACTACACTCAAGTTCAAGAGTACATACCTTGAAATTGCTGGGACCGGTATAATCCAGCATCTGCTGCATGTCTATCGCATCCTGGCACAGTCGTTTCAGATGTGTGAGCGCGTCATCGGAGGTAATATTAACCATCGGACGAGGCGGCACTGTGCTAGCCAGCTTTCGTTGAATCTTCAAGCTGAAGGCATCTGGCACCGGCTTTCCCAGAGCGACTGTCTCTGTCAGAGGTCGAAGTTGAGTTATACACGAGGCGAAATTTTCCACAGATCTGGTTTCAAGAACTTCAACATCCTGATGTAGTGCAGACAAGAACTCACGCCGAAACACTAGTCTGCAATGGATGGCATCCTTGAGCTTCTGGTCTATGTCAGTCTGCTCCGCAACCCAGGCAACCGCCTGGTCCAGCAGGCGGTGAAAGTCGGATATATTGAAGGCAGACAGAAGATTGCGATTGTATAATTGACTGACAAAATCCTCTTCCTAGTTGGGTGGCATTAGCGGCAGTCAAAGAAGTTGGCGAGCCAGCCTACTAACCTCATAATAATATTCAGTGGCCACTCGGACATGCACAAAATCACAAGCTTTCACTAATGCAAGACAATAAGCTCTCAAGACGAGGTTAACCAAAGGAGCATCACTTGGTACACGGTCAAATCGAGCGTCGTTCATGGTTTTGGGCACCGGCCACAGTAATTTATCGAGATAAATTGACGTGAATAGCGTCTGCGATAGAGGATGTCCCTTATGCCACGCCACCTGCAATTAAGTCAGCAACCTGCCATCTTCATATGTGCGATATTATCTCCCACCTCGTGGCATAGCAACTGGTCCATCAAGCCAACGACTTCCTCTGGTGTCAACGGCCGCCGTACGTCGTAGTCGTCTTCCAGCGCCTGCGCAAGATTTTCTCCGGGGGCTATGTAGCCACTGTCCATCCTTGAGTCCATAATCTGTGCGGGTTCGATCGTCGTCAGCTGCAATTCTTGTCGCACGTTTCACATCTGGTGAGAAAGCCGACACACCTCCAACGCGCCCACAGCCTCGAATAGGGTGAATGTCTCATCTTTCACGAGCTGCCCTGCATTTAGCTCTACAAGTACAAATGATTAGACACTTAATCGAAGCTTTCGGGTAGTATGCTTACTCGCTGCGGCTTTTGTGAATTCAGCTGTAATGTCGCGGGGTGCGGACTGCTCAACGAACCGCGGACGGCGAAAGCGAATCTCGTTATTCGGCAGCATCGCGAATAAGTTCTTTCCACAGTGCTAGTTCTATTACAGGACTTCAAACAAGTCTCGTGCTGCCGGACGTGTTTCGAGAGATCAAATCGAGGGGGAGGCGGGGATGTGAGCGGAGGAAAAAGCGAGTCGGGAAGTCGACAACCGGGCCTAGAGGTGACGTGCAACATCTGACCGGCCACGCCCGGGCAATATGAGAATTCTTACAGAAGTTTTAACTAACAGCTTATGGGTCATGTGAAAACAAAGACCAGTGGGATTTCTAAGCTCTGCCCAACCAGACAGGCCGGTATTGCTACACATGTACATTTCAATGCCTCCCCCGGACCAAAAACTCGCTCAAGTCCGTCACACTCGGGTCCTGCATATCTCCAAGCTCGATTCTCTCAGGTTATGGGGGAATAAGGCTTATTTCTCAGCAGCCTTGGCGATGGCCTCGTTGTTGGCCTGGGCGAGAGACTTCACTTCACCCTGCTTGCCGTTCTGTTCATCGGAACATTGTCATCAGTCAAGATTCCGCATAGAGCTCGAGAGGTTCACTTACATCCCACTTGGCGAAACGGAGGTCCATGACTCCGCGGCGCTCAGAGGCGAGACGAGGGGCTTCCTTCAAGGAGCGGCGCACCGTGCGGGCGGCGATGGCCAGGTAGCGGTTGTAGCTGGGGTCGAGGTTAGCATTGATTCGAAAGAGCATTGGTGCACGCGTACGTCAAACCGGCGGCTTTCCAGGCAGCAGTCATTTTGAAGAGAATGTGGAGGTATGATTCGATTGAAGGGGTGAAAACGGTTCGGGTGAGTTTGGAAGCGTTCGACTTCGGAGGATCGGGATGACAGGATCACGTGGGGAGCAGTCTACCTTTGGAAGGCGGTGGCTAGAAAAGCGGTGAGGATTTACGCGGTTGGAATATTTGATGCCTATAAGTCACGTGATATTGGGGTAGGTCTGGTCAGGGAAAGTATTTATCCGACGTTTATCCGACGTATATTGATCAGTACTAGTATCACCTCCAGGGCTTCATGTCACCAGCGTTTATTTCGACCACATCCTTGTACAACGAACACTACACCACGCCACACACCATGTTATTCTACCCCAAAATGCCCGATATGTAGAAATATATTGCTATTCGCCATTGGGTCAATAATACTTGCATTCTGTTCTTTTCATTTCCTTCTCCGAGGTGGTGGATGTTTATATAGATCCTTCGTCACATATGTAATGATATCCTTATGCAAACAACATTATACAATGCGACACACTATATCATCCAGCCATACATCATCCGATTCGTAAAGTTATAATCGCTATGCTGTTGGCTCATCAATAATTCTATTCTGTGTTCTTCGGTTTTTTCTTCGAGGGTGGTGGGGTGTAGAAGGGTTGTGGTGAAATTATATAGATCTTTTGTACCAAGAGGGGCAAACTGCGTATCGCCTCCAGCTCGAATGTAAGTCTCGCAGCCACGATGCGTCTTCGCAGCTTCGAAGTGCTAGATCAGATGGTGTATCAGCACATGTAAATAGGAATATATACTCCAAGAAGCAGGCTTGCTGTGCACAAGAAGGATTACAATCTGCCTGCTTTTGGTGCAGGGTATGAAAACCTTCCATTCGGGTTGACCAGCCGTGTACAATACACGTGCTTGACCTCGAAACCAAGAGCCCCCGAAGGCAACAACACAAAAATGTTTCAAGGCGGTCCATTGCTTCAGAGCATTTGCTATCCCCCACCACTCCTCTTGGTCACCATATCTCTCACTTGCTCTTCATTCTCATCGACATTCATCCATCTCCCATCGTCCACAACATTCCCCATCTTTCTGTGCTTTGATACCAAAGCATCTCGAATCGAAGGTGCCTTTTTATCATATCCACCAGGTGAGTAGCCCAGTTTTGTACTGGTTATAGTCCATTGGTTTCCCTAGCACATCCCCACTTCCTACCATAGAGCTATTGCTTCTGTGCATCATTGGCATGAGGTCCTGTGGCACACTGTGGTTGTTGAGAGCTCCGCTGCCATCCAGTGCTTAGCCACGACCCATTGCCTTTGTCGATGATCGGGTTATGCATATCAATGCCCAACATCTGGCAAGTTCATCTCAATTGCCTGGCGTCTGGGCATGAGTGGCACAAGTCGTCCAACAAGTTGAGAATCTTGCAATTTTCGATCGGATACCGTCATCCCCAGTACATGGCATTGGGGATTGGTGGTATTAATCCACAATTGCATGAGACCATCGTTGGTCCCGTGCCCTTCTCAGAAATAGAGGATGTTGAAATCGCATGCAGCATCAATAGGGTATCGGCCATCAGTTGCTTTGAGCATGGGCATTCTGGAAAGCTTCTTTGGGCCACGCTCTGAGATCCTGCAGTAATGGTCAGCCTTGTCACTATCTGCATATTTATCTTAACATATCCTGCTTGGGCGGTGCTCGATACCATATTCCATCCAAATGCATACTGCAAACCCATTCTCATTGTGAACACTGTGTGTTCACTGTGTTTGATCCATATTTCTGCTTTATCGGAGTTTGACAGCAATGCAACAACACATTGGCCGTGCCCAGTCACCTACCTCACGCCCCGTCCATACATTCCAGATTCATTTTCTTCTTGTGAGCACAAATGCTAATGATGATATTGTGCAGAAGGATATAAAGGACTCGTCCATCCAACATGCCGATCAAGAAAAAAGCCGGTACCCGAAAGCGCGACAATGAGGCGGACCTTGCCGAGCTCGAAAGGCTCCGGAAACAAGTTGCTGAACAGAGCAAGGCGCTAGAAGCTGAAGAGGCCCGCAGGGAGGAAGAGAGCCAGGCCAAGCGCCAAATCAGCAGCCGGCGCCAACGGACACTGGTTCGCTGGGATGGTAAGTTCCCAATCTTGTTCCGTCTTTCTATTCGGGGATGTTGTCCAACTGGGAACATCATGGAAAGATATACTGTTGTCACATAGACTTGTATTCAAGCAGAGGATTTGCCAATGGATTATGCTGACATTTGACTGAAATAGTGGATACCGACATTCGGCTTCTGTTGGCCATCCAGTATGCCTGCAATAAGCTCAGCGTGAAGATTCCCTGGAAGGAGGTCGCGGAAGTTATGGGAGAGAAGTTCACGGAGGGTGCGATCGTTCAGCATTTGTCTAAGCTTCGCGCCAAGCGGGAGGAGCAGGATAAGCCAAATCCGCCTCCACTGAAACGTGCAGCGAGTTGCTATAACAAGAACGACGCAAACAAGAAGGAGGCGTTGTCTCCTCCAAAGGACGAACCACCGAGCACTCGCAGCGGAAAGCGCCGACGCCGTTCGCCGTCCGTTGAGGAATCCGACGACGATGTGTACCCCATCAAGAAGAAACAGCCTACAAAGAACAAGAAGAAGGACAAGGTCTCCGCTGCTCCTAAGCTGCGTGGAGAGCGAGAACAATCCGAGAGCGGTGACTCCCGGAAGCTGCTGTGTGTTGGAGCGGAATGGCTGCGTGACTTCGCTGGCGACGACTGTGAGATTGACGACGAATCGGCTAGTTCTGAAGAGAACGAGAACGAGGACTCAACTGAAAGCAGCCACGTCACTGCTCAAGCGGCTAAGAAATCAAAGATCGTGACACTCAAGCTAGGCCGAGAGCGCCTGGCAAGTGTTGACCGCTACCTTGGTGGCTCTGCAACTTTCCGGGAGCCTATGGCCTCAACCAACCCGTTGCGCGCTATCACCAACATGCCACCCCGTCAGCCATCCTACCGCACTTACATGCACTCCGTTGGGCCTTTTTCGCCTGACCCCACCACTTTGTTTGGGAACAACATCTCTTACCCATCCAGTGGCCCAAGCCCATTTGACATTCCGATTTCTGACGCTGATCTTGCTGGAGCCTGTGCTTTTGATGATGTGGATCTCACAGCACCGTATTCACAGTTTGATATCCCCTCCGAATTGCAATTTGACCCAATGTGCAGCTACCTCAATACCAGTGGTTTTGACAACCAGTTCATTCCCGACGATGAACTGTTTGCGTCCGTTCCTGACGTAGAGCCTCCTCGGTACTATGGGTACGGGGGTGAAGAGGTCCAGGAATTTTAATTTCCTGGGCCGATCGTCATGGTTCCTGGTTGCTCTGATACTTTTCAATACTTTTCCCCAGTGCTTTCCGAGGCTTTTTTCTTGTTTCCTCCTTTCTTGGCCTTTTCTTTGCTTTTGTTTTTCCTTTTTTCCTTTTCTCGCTGGTTGGTCGGAGGAGATGGGTGAGCATCGATCCCGATTTAACGGTGCAACTCCGGATAATAATTCTTGCGTGGCATGGAGTCATGTGTTATCTGAAGTTGTACCCTAGCGCTTCTTTCATGCGTTGCTCGTTGGCCCCCTGCGGGGAGCCCGGTAGTTAGTTAAATCAATAAGAGCATATCGTATCGTCTTCTTTGGAAGTACCTTGTAGGTTAGTGGTGGGTTCTCACTGATGATAAAAGCGAAGTCGCTAATTCGCTAGTATAGAAGGTTGCCGAACACCGGATATACGTACGGAGTAGCTTTCCGAGGTATATATTTGAACACATCGGCTTGGACCTATGCATCACGTAGGAATACTCTTTCTTCATAACTTTTGAATATAGACTAGATGTTCCAAACTACCATTCTCCATCACATTTCCAATCTAATAATCTGCTATAACACCACAATATCTACAATATTTCCACTGCCGATCTAGGTCCGTTCTTCCGGCTCACGTGATGGTTCTAGCTGTTTCTGCCGCCAAGCTCTGGGGATGAAGGAAGCGCCTGGAAAATTTTCGAGACTTTAGCTTCATCTCTCCCCCAGCTTTCTCCATCTCTTTTCTTTTTCCCACTTCAAACCCCCGATCTCTCCTGGGTTGTTGTATTTCTCTCTTCTTTTAATCCTTTTAATCCCGTTGTTTCCAGCCATGCAGCGCGCTCTCTCTACCCGGACATCCGTCCTGTCGGCCGCTTCCAAGCGTGCTCCTTTCTATCGCTCAACATTGAACCTCCAGCAGCAGCGTTTTGCTCACAAGGTGCGTTGGATTGACAATTACCCGCGGGATCATCTTGTTCTGCAATTGACACCGTGTTCCGTCCATTCCGAAGCGTTTGGCCGTTCCCTCGCTAACAGCAACTAGGAGATCAAGTTTGGCGTTGAAGCTCGTGCCAGCCTCCTCAAGGGTGTTGACACTCTTGCTAAGGCTGTTACCTCCACACTCGGTCCCAAAGGTCGCAATGTCCTGATCGATTCCCCCTACGGCTCCCCCAAGATCACCAAGGGTAAGATTCATATCAAAAGAAACACTTGGCCACTAGCAAAAATACTAATTATTCCCTAGACGGTGTAACTGTCGCCAAGGCCATCACTCTTCAGGACAAGTTCGAGAACCTCGGTGTCCGCCTCATTCAGGATGTTGCCTCCAAGACCAACGAGGTTGCTGGTGACGGTACCACCACTGCCACCGTCCTTTCCCGCGCCATCTTCTCCGAGACCGTCAAGAACGTTGCCGCTGGCTGCAACCCTATGGACCTGCGCCGCGGTATCCAGGCTGCCGTTGAGGCCGTTGTGGAATACCTCCAGGCTAACGCCCGCCCTATCACCACCGGTGAGGAGATTGCCCAGGTGGCCACCATCTCCGCCAACGGTGACACCCACGTCGGCAAGCTCATCTCCACCGCCATGGAGCGTGTTGGCAAGGAGGGTGTTATCACCGTGAAGGAGGGCAAGACTCTGGATGACGAGCTTGAGGTCACCGAGGGTATGCGCTTTGACCGTGGTTACACATCCCCCTACTTTATCACCGACCCCAAGTCCCAGAAGGTCGAGTTCGAGAAGCCCTTGATCCTGCTCTCCGAGAAGAAGATCTCCGCTGTCCAGGACATTCTCCCCGCCCTCGAGGCCTCCACCACCCTCCGCCGCCCTCTGGTCATCATTGCCGAGGACATTGAGGGCGAGGCTCTTGCCGTCTGCATCCTGAACAAGCTCCGTGGTCAGCTCCAGGTCGCCGCCGTCAAGGCCCCCGGCTTCGGTGACAACCGCAAGAGCATCCTGGGTGATCTCGCTGTTCTCACCAACGGTACTGTCTTCACCGATGAGATCGACATCAAGCTCGAGAAGCTCACCCCCGAGATGCTTGGCTCCACTGGTGCCATCACCATCACCAAGGAGGACACCATTATTCTCAACGGTGATGGTAGCAAGGACAACATCTCCCAGCGCTGCGAGCAGATCCGCGGTGTTATGGCCGATCCCACCACCTCCGAGTATGAGAAGGAGAAGCTGCAGGAGCGTCTTGCCAAGCTCTCCGGTGGTGTCGCCGTCATCAAGGTCGGTGGTTCTTCTGAGGTTGAGGTCGGTGAGAAGAAGGATCGTGTCGTGGACGCCCTTAACGCCACCCGCGCTGCCGTTGAGGAGGGTATCCTCCCCGGTGGTGGTACCGCTCTGCTCAAGGCCTCCGCCAACAGCCTTGCTGGTGTCAAGCCCGCCAACTTCGATCAGCAGCTTGGTGTCAGCATCATCAAGCGAGCCATCTGCCGCCCTGCCCGTACCATTGTTGAGAATGCCGGACTCGAGGGCTCCGTCATTGTCGGCAAGCTGACCGACGAGTACGCCAAGGACTTCAACCGCGGATACGACAGTGCCACCAGTCAATATGTTGATATGATTGCTGCCGGTATCGTCGATCCCCTGAAGGTTGTCCGCACCGCCCTGGTTGACGCCAGCGGTGTCGCCTCTCTCCTCGGTACTACTGAGGTCGCCATTGTCGATGCTCCCGAGGAGAAGGGCCCTGCCCCTCCTGGTGGTGGCATGGGCGGTATGGGCGGTATGGGTGGCATGGGCGGCGGCATGTTCTAAAGCCCCTGACCCGATTCCCCTAAAGAATTACCTCGAGCGCTCTTCTTTGCATCGTAGCCTGTTCTGATACTCGGATGTTTGTGTAATGTCTTTTCTTTTGTGTCTTATTTGGTGTTCATCTTCTTTCATGTTTTTTCCCCATACCTGTATTCTTTTGGACGTGTTCTGATCTCCGACTCTCTCTCTCCTCTCCTCTCCTCCCTGGGGCTTGACAAAACAGGTTCCTCTGTACTATATCATGTATTCCAATAAAGTCCCATCTGATACGGCTTGCTGAATTATGTCTTTTTCGGGATCGACAATGTCCCCGCATAGATCTACTGAAGCTCCTAACAGTCTCGCTAGAAAGTATTCCCTACGAAGTACAAATAGGGGAAATATTTTCACGTACCCCATATATTAGCAACCCAACTGATTGGCTACGCGGGTCGGCTGTTTTGTGCAGTCTATAGAGCCATAAGACCAAGGAAGGGTCTAGACTGAGGCGACGGGCGAATACGACTTCAGACGCGCATGATACACGCAATGATGGGAATTAATAGCGATAGAGAATATATGTTGGAGTAAAGGATTCCAATAGCCAACGTAAGCCGATGTAAGTGGTTGGGCACCGCAATTAACCATGGGTACTGCTGTTCTTCTCTCGGGCTCTTGAATCCTCTCCGCCTGGACCCTTTCCCTCGCGTCACCAGATCATTCCGCCATTCCAGTCCTGCATTTTTGTGCATTCTTGTACCTGATCTGGATTCGCTCTTTCAATCCAAGTTTCGTTCTCTTCCTGGAATACCTTGGCCATCGGGAATGCATACCGCGCTTGCGGGGAACACATCGTGTTCGCCCCTCCGTCGCCTGTCAACGTAGGTACGATCATGACTCTCTGATATTCTAGTCTGTCGCCAACTTGCTTTTATAGTCACTGCGCGCTTAGAGAGCCCTGAGCCAATTTGAATCGAAACTAGACTGTGACTGCTGCCGGCAATGGCTGCCATGGTGGATGCTCGCCTAGCTCTGGTGAGCGATGCAGATCTCATGCAAGCACGAGCAGCTCTTCAGCATCAGCAGAGTCCAGAAGTCTCTGTTCCCCGCGAATTCATCTCTCTCATCGTCGAGGAACTCATCTACCGCCGCGAGTCGCATTCCTCCATCGCGGAAATCGAACACGAACGCTCAATCCTCCGGAAGGAACTTCGCAAGCACACCCACATCAATGAGGCATTCCAGAAAGAACTACGGGAGATCGGCGAGATCATTACCCAGGTCGCTCATGGCGATCTATCACAGCGGGCCCGCATGCACCCCCTCGAGATGTCGCCTGATATCGCTACCTTCAAGCAGACAATCAATACCATGATGGATCAGTTGCAGGTTTTCAGTCAGGAGGTATCGAAAGTGGCCAGGGAGGTTGGCACGGAGGGTGTATTGGGTGGCCAGGCGAAGATCGAGGGCAACCAGGGAATTTGGCATGAACTGACTGTCAACGTGAATGCCATGGCCAACAATCTGACCACCCAAGTCCGCGATATCACCACCGTAACGACGGCGGTTGCCAAGGGTGATTTGCAGCGAAAGGTACAGGCGGATTGTAAGGGCGAGATCTTGCTGTTGAAGAATATCATCAACTCGATGGTCGATCAGCTACGGGAATTCGCATTCGAGGTTAGTCGCGTTGCTCGCGAGGTCGGATCGGACGGTGTGCTCGGCGGCCAGGCTGTTGTGCACGGCGTTGAGGGTACTTGGAAAAATCTTACAGACAACGTCAACCGGATGGCATCGAATCTTACACAGCAGGTCCGCGAAATTGCCGATGTCACAACCGCCGTTGCACGTGGTGATCTTACGAAGAAGGTGACCGCGGATGTGAAGGGCGAGATCTTGGATCTTAAGCTTACGATAAATGCGATGGTTGATCGGCTGAATCAGTTTGCGTTCGAGGTCAGCCGAGTCGCACGTGAAGTAGGAACAGACGGCACGCTAGGTGGACAAGCGCAAGTTGAAAATGTCGAAGGTCGCTGGCGTGATTTGACGGACAACGTCAATACCATGGCGCAAAACCTCACTCTGCAAGTCCGACAAATCTCCAACGTCACCCAGGCCATCGCGCGCGGCGATCTTAGTACCAAAATCGAAGTCCACGCCCAGGGTGAGATCTTGACTCTCAAAGAAACAATCAATAGTATGATGGACGGGTTAGGAGAATTTGCGGGGGAAGTCAAAGGCGTGGCGAGGGATGTGGGTGTCCGGGGTAAACTCGGTGGCCAGGCCAACGTTGCGGGATCTCATGGAATCTGGAGATCGATCAGTGAAGATGTCAATACGATGGCAGACAATCTGACCTCTCAGGTCCGTGCCTTTGGTGAGATCACCGAGGCGGCGATGAGTGGAGATTTCACAAAATTGATTACCGTGTCTGCCTCTGGAGAAATGGATGATTTGAAACAAAAGATCAACAAGATGATCTCGAGTCTCCGCGACAGTATTCAGCGCAATACCGCTGCGCGTGAGGCAGCAGAGCTGGCAAATCGGAGCAAGTCTGAATTTCTGGCTAACATGAGGTATGTTGATCGTTTTACTCGGTTTCATAGGCTTTCCTTTTCTTTCGCTTGTGCTAACTACAATGTAGCCATGAGATCAGGACGCCCATGAATGGGATAATTGGGCTTTCGAGTCTGGCACTCGACACTGACGACCTCCAAGCTCCCGTGAGAGAGACTCTGAATATGGTACACAATCTTGCAATTAGTCTCTTGACTATCATTGACGACATCCTCGACATCTCCAAAATCGAGGCCAATCATATGATTATTGAGAAGACGCCATTCAGTCTTGGTGCAACAGTGTTTAGTGTGCTGAAAGCCCTCTCTGTGGAAACTAATGAGAAGGCCTTGGGTCTAGTCTACACAGTAGATGGAGAAGTACCAGATTATCTGATCGGAGACGCATATCGACTACGGCAGGTCATGTTAAACCTAGTCGGCAATGCTATCAAATTCACAGACCACGGCGAGATCAGAGTCACGGTAAAGCATGTACAGGACGACAAGTGCGCCTCAGATGAAACGACATTCCAGTTCTCAGTCTCAGACCCTGGAATCGGCATTGACGAAAGCAAACTTGCCTTGATCTTTGACAAGTTCCAGCAAGCTGATGGATCGATGACTCGTCGCTTTGGCGGGACCGGTTTAGGCCTCGCAATTTCAAAAAGGCTCGTTTCTCTCATGGGGGGTGACATCTGGGTAACCTCGCACATGGGAGAAGGCAGTACATTCTCATTTACCTGCCGAGTGAAGCTAGCTCTGCCGCCGCCTAGCTTTGCGGACCAGCTTGCCCCCCACCGGGGTCAACGCGTTCTGTTCTTCGACCACGGTCTTGCGCGCAGCTTCCCAATAGCTACGGTACTCATTGAGCTCGGAATAGAACCAGTCATTGTGACAGAGGAGCAGTTAGAATGCGGCCAGTTCAAAAGTGATTGGGTCTGCACTTTCGACGCAATCCTCATCGAAAACTTGGAGATCGCCGCAAAGCTCCGAGCCTGCCCGGACCTCCAACCTATTCCACTAGTCATTACAGCTCATACTGTATCCCTAACGCTCAGAGCTGCCGGTGAACTCGGCATAGCATCCTACATCACAGTGCCCTGCCGACCCATTGATCTATGGAATGGCATTCTTCCTGCCCTCGGCAACCGCCCAACCCGGACCCCATCAGGCTACACACGGTCGTTATCAATTCTTTTAGCGGAGGATAATGACGTGAACCAAAAGGTTGCCGTCCGAATTCTTGAGAAATTCAATCACGAGGTAACAGTCGTGGAAAATGGCCTCCAAGCTGTGCAAGAGGTCAAACACCACCGCTACGATGTGGTTCTCATGGACGTCCAGATGCCCGTTATGGGTGGGTTCGAGGCCACAGGGAATATTAGACACTACGAGAAGCTCAATGGGCTTCCTCGTACGCCGATTATTGCTCTCACTGCACATGCTATGCTTGGGGATCGAGATAAGTGCATACAGGCCGGTATGGACGATTATTTGTCTAAGCCATTGGACTCTAGTCGCATGGTGCAGACTATTCTGAAGTGCTCAGCTATGAATCTTGCCCCACTGCCTGTTATTGAGGGCTAAAGGCCACTGGTATATGGGTTCACTGCCTAATTGACTCCGCCTCTTATTTCCCCCTTCTCCAACCCTCTTTTTAACTGCCTATAAGCCTTTTATGGCTGCCCAGTCGAGTCTATTTCCTCCGAATGAGCTCGGAGCCTCATTTCTTCCCAACCTCCAAGAGGACTAATGTCCTAACCTCAGGGAATTCCCCTCCTCATTCTCGCAATCTGTACACATATCGATTGCTTATGCGCCCCAACATTTTGCGGTGGAAGCGCAGACCTTTTGAACTTCTATTCTTTTGAAATACCCCATCGTGTCGGATACTCTGTTAACGGTTTTCTTTCAAGGTGATCAAATTCTGTCTCTGTTCATGGTGTTTGGTTGACACGCGAGATGAATACATTTAAATCATGTCTAATGTCTACCGTGGTATGCCCTGTCTGTTATCTTCGCCCTTATTTATGCATCTCCTTCAGTACACGAACTCATATATGTTGCGAATTTAGAAACAAAACATTCCGAAGCCTATTTGTCTCTCTTGTTGCTATGGTCAGAAATCAACCGGTACGTTGCTATACTATGCGTATGCGCAAGATATAAAAGGGTATCAAATAGGCGCCGAAAACACAAAATGATACAAAGAACATACAGACTAAACCTCCCCGGGGCGTCTCCGATCAAATCCAGAATTTATCTCATACTTCCCCTTCTTGTTTCCCTTCCCCGCAGAAATTCGATCCCCCTGCCACCGCCGCCAGATATCCTCATCACGCTGCATATTCCGCCTCCCATAACCCAGATACTCATCAAAGCGTTTCCTAAGCCCAGAGTCCTCAGGCACGACGTGAATAGGTATTTTACCTGTAGCAGAACCCCATAAGAATGATTTAATCGGATGCAGGATGAAGTCCTTCGATAGGCCCGCGCCGATCTTGTGCATTTTGGATACGATATCGCGTAGCGTTTCGCTGAAGGCTATGAAGAGGGACAGGAAGATTATTGCAAAGGATGCCGGGGCTGGAAAATGTCAGTTGGTATAGTCATATAGTGTTTGAGACGAAACGGACCTGCTATTTCGAACATTTGTCCTAGGGTTGGGTTTGCCTGTTCCCCGCTCCATTCTCGGGCATTGATTCCAAACAAGGAGGTAAAGAAAGATAGAGGGAGGAAGCTTGAATTGTCAGAACTGATTCTTGGATTTTGGAGAGTATGTAGACTTACACAACACTGAATATGGTGAAGACCATCACTGCTCGCGATTGCGTTTGGGCAACTTCAGCTTGCCACCGAGTCATCTTGGCTTCGTCGACATTTGCCTGTTTCTGCTTGAGGTCAAGGAGCGTTTCCACCTGGCTGGTTAGTAGGAAAAAAAAAGACGTGAACGGGGAACGTGGGAACTCACTGCTTTCTGCGCTAGATGGCTGTTTTCTTTCATCTCATTGATTTGTGAACGATATTCGTCGATTCGCTCTTGTGCTGTATCGAGGAATGATTTACCGCACCCTTTGTTACCGAAGTATTTCACCATATTTTTGATAACGGTGTCTTGTTGATCGAGCAGCTTTAGGATGGTGGATAGCTCGTCTTCGATGTCACGCAGCTCAAGCAGAACGGATAGATCTTCTCGATTTCGACGAGCAACCTGCAATTCTTTGTAATCTTGCTGCGCGGCTGTCATGATCTTGCCGTCTGAGGTGCGGTCATGATCCGCTGGGCGGTTGGTGAAGCCTCTATTTCGAAAGCGCTTGAAAGACTTCGTCACTGATTCGGTCTGATTTTGTTAATATGATCTACCCAAGGAGTTGTCACGAAGGGATGAACCTACCAATATGCTGATTGACTCCTCGAAGATTCGCAATACCTGCAGATCATGATTGAGAGTCTTATCCAGGAGAACAGTGACAGCATGCAGCATGATAAGAGCAGCCAAGTCACCGGCGGTCTCAAACCGACGCGAGAGATCCCCATTCAACTCATTATAAATGCTGCGATGCAAGTTCGACTGTTCAAAAAGCTTCCCCTCAGAGGTCGCAGCCTCTTGATTCGGAAAGAAAGTAACAACAGTCTTTTGATCCACAATCCAAAGCCAGAGCTGATCAACCATCAGGACATTGCCATCTAGAAACTCGCCAATATCCTCGTTATCGGGATCATCCTGTGCAGACTGCAGATACTCTTTTAATTGCTCATCAATGCGCGCCGGTCTGCGAGTGCGCTTCCAAAGCATCTGGTCGTCGTCACGAGCGATAGTCGAGCGTAGATTGGGATACCCATATTGATCCAATGTGCGGCGGAAATGTACTGGAGGTTCGCAGCCGAGATAGCTCCAGATGAGTTGGGCTTCCAGGCTTGCCTTTGAGATCCGGCTTGGGACGGGCTTGGATCGGCCCTGGTTGAGTCGATCTTCGACCACCTTACGCCGTTGGATTAGGTTGCGATATGTATCCCAGTGGAGCTGGAGTGAGTTAGTACAGTGCGGAAGAAGGGTACTGGGTCAATTGAAAGTACTAACGTAGGGAACCTGACAAATATATATGTTAGTGCTGATATTCACATCGAGGACTTGAAACATACATATAGAGCGAGCTGAGGATCCTTGGAAGGATTAGAAGGACGTTCTGAAATATCCATTTGTCTGGAGTGAATGCATGCGGGCTTGACGAAACGTGCATGGGGCTCGAGGTGACGAGCTCTATTAAACCGGTTGTACCAATTTTCGTCATTGATAAATTTCCGAACACTGCAAAAGATAGTTAGCAATGTGCAGAACCGTGGAGTTAGTTCATATGCCCTACAAATTAGGCTCTTGCCTATCCTCACATGCTCGGCGAATGACTTGGGATACCCAGCCAGTATGCGTATATGGCACATGAATCCACATCAGTTTCTCCGTATCAGCCTCAGGTCGATCGAAGCGTGGAACTGCTCGAGGTATATCCGGTTTGTCGGCATTCTCGTTGATGTGATCACGAATGGACTCGGGTACTGCCAGGAAAGAGGATTGCACTGGTTGTGATGCAGAATAGGTCCTGTTATCTATTAGCTTACATTTGTTGGTTTTCGGCAAGCCTCAGTGGTTTACTTACGAATGTGGCTGTTCAATATTTGTCCGGGAGCTGTCAGAAGCACTTCGACTGTGGGATTGCTTAGGTCGAATTAATTCCACCAGCTTGGTGATTGAGCTCTTTCGTTTTAGTTCCTGTGGCGGATATGGGCTTTCATTGGGTGCGTCGCTCGAGTAGCCCTCCATGTCTGCTTCGGTGATGTGGATATTCGGAGAGGGATCGGATGGATCTTCAAAGATTGGCCTGTAGGGTATAGGGGCTTGCAGGAACCTTGATTTCTCATCATGATGGCTTTGAGGATGGTGTGGATCGGAGCCAGGAGAAACGTAGGATGAACCGGGTCTAGATCTACCATAACTGCCCATTGGTGAATGGTCCAAGCCACTGGGTCGGAATCGAACTAGTCTCTCCCGAAGACAAGCTGACGGACCCCGAGAGATGTACTCTCTCAGGGACACTTTGGTTGACCACAGCTTGAGCGGACTTTCGTCACTGACACCCAGTGCAGTATCCTCGAAGAAGCCGTTAATTTGAACCTTGACTTGCTCTTCCACGCGTAACGGAATATCCTCGCGCTGGGAAATTTCAACAGCCGTGGCCACAGCATTAGCAAGCTCATCGAGGAATCGATCTCGTGTAGACTCCTGGCCATGGAAAGTTGCCGTCCCCGCATGGTCCGTTGCCATGGGCACTTCTTTTTCATGCTCAATATCCAACAAACCCGACCGAATCGAAGTAATGGGCACATGAAACTCCATTATGTTATGAGTCTCGGTGTCGATCACCTGCATAGTTGAATCCACAGTTTCGAGAAAAGACCAGACCCTCATGTCAGCCGAAAGGGTTTTGAACTGGTTCGACAGATGCCATAGGTGCTCTTGACGGGGACGCAACTGCATCCTGAGCGCTGCCGGGGTCTCACAATCCAGATGCAGGAGTCGACGTATACTAGCCGCGTATTCATCGGCAGAGAGATAGGTCGAGCCTTGATGGGGAGTTGCAAAGAAGGCGATACCATGACAGTTGATTAAGGTCGACTGGCTCGCCTCTCGTGATGCCATGGCCAGAGCTGCTTTGACGACGAGACCACCGGTGCTGTGGCAAATAAAAAAAATGGGACGTCGAGTTGACTAGGGAAATGTTTATTAAATTACTCTTGGATATGAAAAGACGATGACATGTGACTAACCTCATGTGTCCACTCACTATGGAGTTGGTTCAACAGTCGTTGACCCAAGGTATCGATTTTGTCGTCACGTAGGTCTCCATAGTTATATAGTAGGACTCGTGCTCGAGGCACATGCTGTAGTAGCTCTTCATCAAGCCAGGATAATTTCGCGCCAGGCGCTATCCACGTCTCTCTATGATGGGCGCCGACGGGCGGGACAGCGACAATACTGAGGGATGAGTTATTATATGATGGTATGATAAGATGGAATAACTTACTCGACATCAGTATCGTCATGGAGAGAAACAGGCTCAAACCACGAGCGCGTCTGGTCGTTCACGGGTGGCCGCGAAGGCATCTTGTCGAGTCCGGTTGAATATAGCCTCAGTATACAGGACGAAAACAAAGCTGGGGGAAATCGGGATCAAGTCAGAGGCAACCTGGCGAGTCTTAAATCCCACAAATCAGAACACTTGAGCCTCTTCGTTGGGGTCCGGACGATCACGCCCCGACACGCTAGTTTGCCCGCTGACAGTCGTCTCCAGGGCTGTGTCAGTCAAAATGATATCGCTGGGGCTATGTTATATTATTATATATCCAAAGAGAGAGACTTCAATTATGTTTATACAGAGAAAACACCCCAGATTCCAAATTCCAAAATTCCACATGCTAATGCACCACTCTATAACGGCTCATGTATCATCAGAAACGCCCATAACAAAAGGGAAAGTGGAGAGAGACAGCGCATATGCATTATAATTGTACAGGGATTATGCGTCAGAGTGTCGCAGTTCGTTGACCTCTCGGGCCATGCGCTTTCCAAGCTCATAGGTTGAGATCATGATGGCGCAGGCCGGGGCAACTTTTAGACATCGCGCCGTCCAACCGCGGAATAGGCCGGCGGTGCCTTCTTCACGGAAGATGTGCATAAGGAATTTTGGTAAGGATAGTTGCTCTGGCACTAGTGTGCCGGGTGATGCCGTATGAGGGGCGGCGCCAGTATGAGGAACATCGTCCATATGTCGGAAAACTTGCTGTCGCGTCTTACCAACATCGAACGGCGTAGTAACAAGTGCTGCTACGGATCCTGAAATGCCCCCGGAAATGAAGCTATCAAGGAAAGCTTGGAGACTTGACTCTTCAGGCTCGTGATCAGAACCGGAAAGAGGGGCCTTCTGACGCGCCGCGATCAGAACCTTCTTTACCTCCTCGTATCCCCACCAGTAGAGCCCAGAGAAAGGAACATCGCGCCACATGGTAAGAGTGAACCCTCGCCAGAGAGAGCTATATCCCTTCTTCTGCGTCATATGGTATAAATCCTCCACAGTATTTTTGAAGTGGTCCGCACCCGTTCCCGGAGTTGCCTGGAGACGTGTCCGGAACATCTCCAGCGGACTGGTCGCTGCCGCCGCTGCGACACGAGCCAAGGACCCCGCTATCAAGGGCGCATAACCTTCAGACACCCGCTGTTTGATGGGACTCCGTTCATCCGTGCGCAGCCAGTCATAGCCAGCAAAGTAGATGACATTGGCGGGGATTCCCATCATTAAGGTCGGGCTCAACCCTCGCCACAGTGTCAAAGTTCCTTCATTGCGCGCGATCTTCCGTAGTCCGTCTATAGTCGATGTGAATGTTCGCCGCTGCGATTCTTCGACCGCGCAATCCATCGCCGGATGTGGATTTGTTCCGACCGCGGTCGCCTGCGGCCCTAGCATGCACATCTGGGCATCGTTTCCGACCCAGAAGACTTCGCGACAGCAGGAGGTGATACCGAGATTTGGAGGAAAGTTTTTCAAGGTTTGGGTGGTGTGGGAGGTAAAGCGTGAAGCGTTATGGACCTGAGATTGTGATTGTAAACGGACTCGGACGACATCCAAGGGTGTCACTGGAGCTGTTAGTGCTGGATTCCAAGGACCACGAGCTCTTCCGACTAACCTAGAAGCCCGGTCAAGACATTGCCGGCGGTCGCAGACACCATCCGCTGCCCGGGAGTAATGTTATCTGTTGGAACAGGGGTCTTGGGCGCTGGAGGAGAGCCTGTCCCGGATGTAGTGGCCATTGTGGAATCTTCAAACTGCGCGGCCCATGACGTCTCTAGAGAAGCTGTTGAGTCTGTGCCGAACTGATTGCCAGTACCGTGGCCTGAAGCAAGTTCCACGTGTGGCATTCAATCAATTCGATGGGGAAACAGTCCAGAGTTCTTTGAGCTTGTGTTGGAAGAAAAATGATGCGTCACCGGGAAGAGGAACCTTGGAAGTTTTTCGGGGTCTCGCGGGTGGCGGTGGGCGGAGATAAGCGTTGGGGGAGATTTCGGTGATTTGGAGAGATTTGGGGGGACCTGGAGGGGCTAGAGGGACGTGTTTTTTAACGATTTCTGATCTTGTTTGGCTTCAATGAGTTTGATTCTGTGACAACTTGGTTTGGCTGTTTCTTTTAGACCTCCTTCATACGGCTTATCAATCTGATCTGATCTCCGAGGTCGGACATGAGGCGAAACAGGCTATTTCGGCTCGACCAAAGGGAAGATCAATAGTGGACCTTATGTAGTGGGGTTTCTATAGATTCTGAAGAGTTGAAGTATCCATATTTCCTGGGTTAATAGGTGTTTACGTATGTTGGGTAGAAATTGAGTCGGTGCATCGCCTATAACATGTATACTAGTAGCATAGAAGTGAAACCTCAGGATATATGTGGCTAGCATTCTATAGAATATATCCCTTGCTAACAAGTGGCATTGGATCCAACACCCCCTTTCGCTCCCATTGGCATTCGAACGTGTACTCATAATTTGAGCCATTCATGTTCCAGAAGCTCTGCAGCCGACTTTCGATGCCGGGTCAATTGTAGGCATTATGTCGAAGGAAGTCGATGAGAATGGGAATTTCAGTCAGGCATCCTCGTCGTGTTTCGAGCCGGTAGATTGAAGACGCGCGCGCAAGACAACCGAAGCTCCAGCTCGAGTAGTATATTGGTGGGTTTTAGATCTCCATGGAGGAAATCTAACCCGAGTAAAAGCTGTCGTGCTATAGTTCTTACCGCACTATCCCATCTTCATATTTTGCGCATCGAACACAAGGCATACATGCTGTCCATTTGGACCTCTGTGTTTGAATTGACCCTGAAGACGTAGCATAAAGTGTCGGCCTCCATTTTCCCCAGCAATATCGGATAACCTCTCGAGAATTTCTCGCTTGAAGCTATCGTGCGAGCTAGCCAACCAAACGGTAGAACACTACCTATAGCCTAGTTTCCTCATCACTTTGTATGCACTGAAAGTGTCCTAAGCGAAACGGGCTGGAAACCTCCGGTAGAATAAAGTCTGGCTCTTCTGTTGTCTGGTGTGAATCAAGAGACCTCGATGTTTGAGAAACAGGTTCAAAGATCTTGCGAGCCAAGACCGAGAATTTACTCGACTCAAAGCCATTTTGAAAGTAGTCATCATCTTGAGATCTCATCTGCAGTATTTGTAGCATGGATATTGTGGATCGTGGATGCCTTTAAGTTCCCAAACGCAACAATCACATGTCGCTATACAGCATAGTCAGCTTTACTTCTTTCTCGGTAGTCCATTTGGTAAGGCAGACATAGGTCCTGACTCCAAATTAAGAACCTAGCTTGGCAATGTAGCCACACACGTTTTCATTGGCTCTGAAAAGTGAAGTAGGGCAAAATGGCTAGGGAGTATACTTGACGGAGGATTGATGCGCAAGTTCATTCCAATGCTTTATATTATGCAATATCTCGTGTTAAATACAATAAACAGTGACTTGAAGAGGACTCCTATGTGAGGCTTGAAAAAGCCGGGGATGCCAAGCCTCCCGAGATCGGCGTGTGTCATCATCGCCTGGAGATATCAATGGATGCCTGGATGAGAACGCCCTCCAATCACTACCTCGCTATGGACGACAACGACGAGCTTGAGTCGTTCCGCCAACAGTGGCGCGAGGAGGTCACTCGTCGATCAAAACCCAAAGCTGCCCCTGCTGCTCCTGCAACTCCGGCTCCGACTGCCCCGCCTCCGACTCGTCTTCCGCCCACACGCCATGAGGCCTCTGACCGCAAAGAGATTGAGGAGGAGGGTCCCCCACTGGCTTCATTTGACCCCGATGAGCTTGCGCATCAAGTCGGGGAACTGAGTGTGGAACCACCCGAAGATGATTTCTCACGCCGAGATGTCGCAGAGCCAACGTCTGCACTGGAACACTTTGAACGAGCGGTCGAGAAGGAGGCCGAAGGCAACTTGGGAGACAGTCTTTCGCATTACCGAAAGGCATATAGGGTGGGTTTTGACTGCTAGAAATGGCACTTATGACGCAAATACTCATTTCAATTCAGCTAGATTCCGCTGTCGATAAGTCCTACCGGAATAAGCACTATGCCCATGTATGGAAGAATCCGAATCAGCCCGCGCCTACTACCCCTACCGCCGTGACTCAACAGCCCGCAGATGTACCAATCCTCCCGACACCTGAACTTATCGCGTCATTTGCACACCTGCCAATTTCACAGCTGGATCCCATCGTCGAAAACACACCGCCGCCTCCCTGCCCAATCGCCACTGTGCCGTCGGAAGTGCTAGTGGAGATTCTGCGACATGTGGCGATGGACGACCCATCAGCCTTTGGCCGGATGGCACTAGTCTGTAAGCGGATGGCTTACCATTTCGCCCATGAGCAGCATATCTGGAGACGGATCTGTCAAGGTCGGGAATTTGGCTTCCAGGGCATGCATTATGACTTTGCATGCGACCTGCATGGGGAACCAATCTATACCCTTGCGCCGCGATACACTCCATTTCCCAAGGGCGGGCCTGTGGAAATCCCCCAGCCGCTGTCTTCGTGGAGCCAAGTGTTCCAGACCCTTCCTCGGATTCGCTTCACAGGCATCTACATTAGCACGGTCAACTATACTCGGCCTGGTGCTGCATCTGCGTACACGAATCTGTCGTGGAACAGCCCCATCCACATCGTGACTTATTACCGCTATCTGCGGTTCTATCCAGATGGCTCGGTCATCTCGCTGCTTACTTCAACGGAGCCAGTCGATGTGGTCCCTCATATTAGCAAAGAGAATGTGATGGCAGCACGCACCCCAGCACACCGAAAGAATCAACGGCGTCCCTCCGATGCGGGTCATACTCTTTCTGGAGCTACTGATGCATTACCACCCGTCGCCCTGAATACGTTGAAGCATGGCCTTCGGGGCCGGTGGCATTTGGCGTCGCCCGTTGACACATCAGAAACTTCCGACACGCCCACCCAAGCCTGGAAGCCCGACTCAACTTCTGATCAGAAATCGCTCCTTTCCGACGAGCGGGATCTCATTATTGAAACAGAGGGTGTAGACCCCAAGTATGTTTATACGATGCATCTATCGTTACGTTCCTCGACCGTACCGAAATCTGCTCAAGTCGGGCCAGCTTCTCCCAACCCATCGAAGAACACCAAGCTAGCTTGGAAGGGCTTCTGGAGTTATAACAGACTGACAGACGACTGGGGCGAATTCGGTCTTCGCAATGACCGAGCGTTCGTGTTCCGGCGCGTACGCGGCTGGGGCTTGGACTGATATGATTGATGACTTATACACGAAAGATTTGTTACATACATGGAAAATGAGATATACATGAATTTGAATATATTGAATATCGTTTCGGGGTTTGTATCATCCCTGAAGCTATTGAGAGTCACAAGATTAAAAATGAAATACAGAACGTTTCACCAAGAAAAATGTGATAAGATATTTTCCCTAATTGAAACCGCAAGGGATCTCGAGAATCGCCAGAAATATATCAACGCAGGTTGCTCAGAAACTGGCGGAATCGTCGGGGAATCGATGGACGTGGCCCAGGAGAAGATGTTCGTTCCGCGACTACATGGTAAGCCTGCAAGGCATTGGTCTTGAATGCATGCGTACCACCCCACAAGAACAGGCGAAAGATACGATAATTATGTTCTCCCCAAGCCGCGATAAGATCGTCTTTGGACGAATCTAGACGCTTTGCCCATTCCAACATTGTGAGCTCGTAGTCCCGAGTCTCATTAGTAACATCCAGCACCGCAAACCCGTGGTATAAGAGCTCAGCAAGGACGTCCTGAAGAGTCATGAAAGTGTGCGTGCCACGCCAAATATAGTCTCTGGTAAAAGAGCTAACAGCAAACTTCTCAACAGCTGCCGAACCGTCAAGGTACATACGGCCACCGGGCTTCAACACATCCCACATCCTGCGTGCAAATCGTTGATAATTAGGGATATGCTCAATCACCCCTAATATCACAACATGGTCGTATGGCTCCTCTGGGTTATGATCAAGAAAGTCTTGTACGAAGACTTGACCAGGGACATTCTTCTCCTCTATAACACGCTGCACATAACGAGCGCTATTGGGCGCGATCGTCAACGTCGTGACATGGACTCCTCGAGCACCACAATACTGAGTCACACCACCCCACCCACCACCAATATCAAGAATTCTCATACCTGGTTTGAGGCCGAGAGAAGCAAACATGGTCTCCATTTTGTGCTCAGAGGCTTCTTCGAGCGTCTCGTCCGGTCGCTGGAACAAACCGTGGGTATAGAACCGGAAACGCTTGTCAAGGAAGGAGAGGAAGAACCCGTCATCGAGACCGTAGTGATCACCGATCGCCTTGGCGTTCATCTTGGTCGCGGTCCGGAGAAAATCATACACGAACTGGAATTTCTGTCGCAGAGGCACTTTCTCCTGTAGATTTTGGCGGGCGTTGAACAAGGCGCCCAAGTCACCCTCAACCTCGATATCACCAGATAGATAAGCTCGGCCAACGCCCATTTCTGTCATTGGTGTGCGCAGCGCACTCTCCGAGCGGAAAATCACTCGATAAACTGGCTCGCCGATGCCGACTGGTATCACTGCGCCGTTGGGCAGCTGTATTTCGCCGGGCGTCTTTAGTCCTGCTAGGAGTGTGGCCACACCCGTGCGGGGTAGACTATTGCGAGATGCTTTTGACATTGGAGATTGAAGATAGTGTTAAGTTTTGGTAATTCTTCTGATGGTGATGTATAGCCACGGGGAGATGAAGTCAAATACGTCCAGGACTAGATTTGTAATGCCAACGACGACCATAGGAGTATTTGAAATAGAAGATCAGGCAGACTGGATATGTCCATTTAGTTGCAAGAGCACGCAAGACAACCTGCATTAGCGGCAGACAGAATCAGCCTATTGGTTCAATCTCAATATCTGACGTGTGATAGTATCTGTGTCAACGTGCAGCTTATACTCCGTGAGAATGCCGAAGAGGGGTATTATGGATCTATTCACAATAAAAAGGAAATATACACATGGGAGATTAAACTAGGATTCTATATCTCCTCATCTTCATCATCCATCATCCACAACTACAACCATCCACACACCCACTTGACCATTACTCGCAAGGAGAGGCGTGCAATGGACCCATCGATTGCGACCGTCGGGATTGGAACGCGTTGTCCACTTGATACGCGCAGTCACACTGCGCCCAACTTTCATAGTTTGTAGTAGGTCATCTTTAACTGCCGAGGAACTGCCAATGCGGGATAGAAATGGTGATTGCAGCATGCCTGGGATCTGGAGGGCAGGCGACGTGAACAGAATCCGGAGGGAAGGGTATGGTCGAACGAGGAGATACTGTATCATGTATTATGTTAGTCTGTGCCATGAAGTTTGCAAATAAACATCTCATCTCTTACGTTCTCATACACGCCCGCAAATGACATCCGGAAAAGGGGCGATTTCATCTCACGTAGACGGACGGCTTCAGTCTCTCTTTCTAAGGATGCGTCGGGCTGGAACCATGATCGCGGGTGATGCGGATATGCGAGGCTTTGCATAGGTTGGAACAGATTTCCACCATACTGTTGAACAGCGGAGAGTTCCCGCGGACTGAACAGTTCAGTCAGCTCACGGAACTCATCCTTCTCTTCTGCTTCTGGTGGCTCCGCAATGCTCTCTTCGTCGGGATCGCGGTATTTGTTTTGTAGTTCCATCAAGGATTCCATCGAGGCTCCCTCCATTGCAAGTCCCGAGACATCGATCTGTGCGCCGATGAAGTATTTGACACGGCCGTGGCTGTCGCATAGAGGTGCGCACTGGAGCAGGTTCATGAATGGAGAGCCGTCACGACGACTGGTTATGTTAGTTATCTGGGTGACTATATTGGCTAAAGGCTGAGTTATAGAGCATACTAGTTGAGAAACATTTCTGAATGATGCCGGCCTGCGTTAATAGCTTCGCGAAGTCGACGAACACTGTTCGCATTTGTCTTCGGGCCTTGTAAAAAGCGACAATTTCGACCAAGCACGTAATCCATGCCGTACTGAGTTGTTCTGTGGAACTCTGATTTTGTTAGTTCGATTCGGAAAACGAGCTGGGGAAAGAAAAACATACCTTCTGATGCGAAAATAATTGGATTGTCAGGTCGCGATGGGTCTGTCAGGCAAAATACTTCTGCCAGTGCATTCGAAGTCCCGCGAAACTTCATTGGCAAGGTTCCTCGGACTCGCTCCTCCACGATCTTGCTTGTGATGTTGATACATCTGGCTGTGATGAATGCAGGGAGCTCCTCGGCAGTGAGAGCCAACAGCCCGTCTACAACACGCCGCTCCAAAACACGGTTCACCGTCACCCCGGCGGCTTCCCCGTCCGTCCGGACTGCTGGGGGAGGCACATCAATAGAGAGGCGGACGAGCGCATTAGCATATTCAATTGCCTTAAGCGCTTTGGAGGCGTTGAGGTAGTATGTGAGGGTAGAAATGGAGCGCGGCCGCTCTTCGAGAATAAAGTCACGAAATCGAGCTAGATACCGGGGGTTATTTAGGATTGTGAGCATATGTTCGGACGAAAACATGATGTCGGCAATTCTTTCCAGCTTGTAGAGTGGTAGATCGCCGCCATCGTAGGGCGCAATGAGATCGTATGAGCCGGTCTCTTCGCTGACGGGGTTAAACTCTGGTGCTCCCTCATTCGGATTGATTTGCTGTAGAAGAGGAAGCTCATTGGCCGTCGCATGTCGACGCAGATTCTTGATAGAAGGATTTGGTGTGGGATACGCTTCCATCTCTTCCTCGTGAATTGCATTTAGACTTTCCAACCTCGGTGGATGGGGGAAGTTGTCCAATAATTGATCAGTCCTGTCTTGTCAGCGCATTCAGTGAAACCTACCACCTTGAGTTCAACGTACTGTGACAATCGACCGGACTCGCTGACCCATTCGTGGTATTCGTCTTGAATAGTCTCAGTGAATGAGCGCAATGACTCTGCATCGGGGGTTCTTAGCCCATCATGGAGCCCCTGGAGGCCACGGAGATCTGTATGCGACATTGTTTGAGTAAAGAAAATACGAGATCCGGCTGTATAACGTCCTGGAAACAGACCTTTTCTTTAATAGTAGGAAATCCTTCCCTAGGCACTGGCGCCCCTCCAGAATGATACATCATTTCATGCACTCTCCAGGGTTTCATTACAAGGAATGCAACGGACACGATGGAAAGAGTCTGCCAAAGTACAGAGATAATATGGGAGGTCATAATGGCAAAAAGTAGATCGATCGATGGTCTACTGAACTCCACGAGATCGGAGTCGATCGTTGATCGATGATGCCACAGTGCAGCGGATGACCTTTGGGGATCAGCTATTGAACTTTGGGTTGAAAACACTGACTGGAATTGCCTGGAATTGCGATACATCCATTGGATTGTTCGCAAATAGGCTACGGTTGGCTAGTTCCTATTCGTTGCTTGGATAATTGTTTGACAGAGGATCTTCCAATTCCCCCTTTTCCCTCGAAGGCTGCGGCAGGTTTTGGATGGTTTGTTTACCGCCTTGGTCTCGTCTGTATACTCAGCTCCCTTTTCTTCTTGCAGTCAAAATACCAGTCCCTCAGAGACATCACCAGTGGGAAAGACACTACAACGGTGATGTCTCGGCGTGGAAGCTTTGATTTCACGGTTCCTTTAGATTGACGCGGCGAACAGAGAATTAGAATAGTCTGCCTTATTATATTCTTTTCGTATGCTTTATATAGGTTCATGACAAGACGTATGCCGTATGTTCGAGTTTCGATATATGAAGAGAAGAGACCGAGAATAACAAATCACTGCAACACCATAACCCACAAATATAAACAAAAAGTGAATGAAACCAGAAATTACTCGTTCTGTAAATGACGATGAAGTAGTATGCAGCCCATATATAGCAAGCGACGCCCCAAATGACATTGCCATCTACCCACTCCGATGGATGCATCATGTGCTCTGCAAGTATGAAAGTGTTCACACCTCACCCCAGGTGCCGAGCCCAGCTCCAACACCAATGACACTATTGCTTTCGCTGCCACCAATATCCCAATAGTTCCGACTAGAACTTGTCATCGTCCGCCGGCTGGAAATAGCCGAGAGCTTGGCGCTCTGGCTGGCACAACTGGAGCCAGGCCGCCGATGCGGTCGTACGATTGGCGAGGAGACACCCGCTGTGTTTGATACACCGGAGAATTGTGATGCGCGACGGGTCTGGGGTTGTGATCGGGAGTAGGCTCGCGCCACGAGTGGGTGATGTTGCCGGATGATGGCGGCTCGGCGGGATGCGTCTTGCGCGCGGCGCGGTGGGGTTGGTGTGTGCGCTTCATTGGGCATGTAACCTCGGCGGCTGAAGCGGTTGCGGAGGTAGCGGAATACCATCATTACATCGAGTCCGCTTTCCCAATACTCGGACTCGTGTTGAAGCTTTATCGATTCGGAGAGTTGGTCAGATCGCTTTGGATCGTCATCTTCGATTCCCCATTGTGCTTCGTGCTCCCGATTCGAGTCTCGAAGTGTGGGCGTGAAGTGCGGTGATAGCATGGAATCGCCAGTTGTATCAGCAACGGTTGATGCGGTCGACTCGGCAGGTTTCTGAGAAATTCCGCTTTCTGCTAGGCGGTTGAGAGACATCCCCGCATATTCGGCGGATATGTCTTTAGTCATTTGATAATAGGTTGTAAATGCCCCGGGATGTTCACAAATTTGATGAACAAGGATTCCCAGCTCATGGGCGATCGTTTGAAGCACCTTTGTCTGCCAGAGTGGCGAATAGCTGAATTCTGGCTCTGGTTCACGAGCTAGTACCGTTTCCATGTCTAGTGGATCTTCCTGTGGGAGCGGTTGCGCGTCCAGCGGCAACGACTCACCAAAGATCACGGAGAGCAAGGAATCATCAATCCCGATGAGGTCACGGATCACCGTGCGTGTGATGCGGCGCCAGAAAGACTCTTCATCCTCCGAGACATCTTTCGACAGTGATATATCCCGTGATAGCACCTCGGATACACGACTTTGTGGGCTAGGATCAACCGAATGACGCAGGCTCGATCGGCTGGTCAGACTAGTCCGCCTCTGTCGGGTTTCTCGTTCGATTTCCTGCAATAGAGCCCGGCTCTGGTCCATGCGCCATTCTTCGATTCGCTGCCACCGTTCTCGCTCGACATTTGTCTCGCCCTCATCAACAGTATCCAGATATCTCTGCACACTCGAGTGACTGTGATGTTGAATATGGCCGTACGAGGGCCGTTGGGGGTTGTATTGCTCATGCTGCCACAGCTGATCCTGGACTGCCTGACTCGAGGCCTGGAAACTGCCTAACCCGTCATGGGCCGGGAGCATGGCAGGCGGCCCCTGATCGAACCGTGTTGGGGAAACCGGGGCTAGGTCTGGTATTCGAAAAGCGTGCAGTCCATCGTCTAGGCTGTCTAGTTCGGTTCCATCTTCGTCCAGTTGATCGTCGAGGGCATTCTCGTCATCGGCTTCTCCCTCGGCGCCGATTCCAGAGCGGGTTGCAGCAAAGGAGCCGAAGTCACTCAGCCGAGAAGCACCTACAGTACGCGTACGATCGGTTGAAGTGGTGTGTGTCCGAGCGGTCGGGGAGAATAGGACCCATTGTGCGGTGTCGTCATCGCGCTGTTCCGACAAGGAGGAGGGGATGTCGAGAGTAGGTGGCGGAGGGGTTGAATAGGAAGTTCTGCGGCGGGGGACGTGTGTTGGGACCTGGAAGGCCATCTTGTTGATTTGATCGCAGCCAAAGTAGATAGATAGTACGATAAGCGGGTTCGATGGTGGATCCAGAGAGAGGGGGAGTTAAGGCTGTTCAAGCGGGGATTATAAGCATTAAAGTATATGGAGGAGATTGGTATAAATAAGAGGAACTAAGAAAGGAGGAGTAGAAAGAATCCAAGTCCAAAAACAAGAAAGGACAAGCTTGGAAGAGTGTCCTGGTGATGTGAGGGAGGGAGATTAGCTGATAAGCGGGAAGATGGGCCCGCGGGAGCCCGAGTCGCCCTGGGATCGGCCAGTGATCTACCAATGATGCAACCGGTATCGGAATGGTGAGACCAGTTGTGTATCCGTTCTGTATCGCGCGTAGAAGAGGTCATAAGATAATGTAGAGACATGTTGAGTATATTACAATATTGGGTACGGAGAAGTGACCCTAGTACTATGGCTTGAAGTATGGCAGGTGCCTCAAGGAGTATAAGCAGGCAGAATAAGATCACTGGTCAACTCCCTTTAGAATCACTTTCTTTAGAATCACTTTCTTTAGAATCACTTTCTTTAGAATCAACTTCCTTTACGGAGTAGATTAGGAAGTATGTTATAAAGTAAAGTGTTGTTGTCGCCACTTCAGATGCCGGATAATCACATGATCTGTTGTTATCCATTGGGTCACATGTCTTTCAGAGGTATAGAACTAAACTATTGCGAACATCGGCGTTTTTGACCTTCATAACATCGGTCCCCGATTCCTTGGCCACTTGGCAGAAGATGGTCGTGTGATTGGATTCTTGATAGAACGTATCAAGAACGCCCGGCATCAAACACCGCGATACAAACTGATGCAGCTTTCTCATTCGTGATTCAACGGCTATTTTACAAATTCCCTAGCGGATCCATCACGTCCAGGTGGGGGAGATCTTCTTCAAATAATTTGTTGCCTATCTTTAGGGTGTTGATATGTAGTTAGTTAGTTAACTAGTTAACTAACTAGTTACGGAGTAGTTACCCCCTTAGATAATCGTACCCCCGAAAATTTAGGCGCACCTTCCTAATCGGGTATAGATATTGTCGCTCTCCTTCTTAAGTTAAACTTCCCAGTAGTAAGACAGAAGGTACCTACAATTTGTATGTAAACTCCTAGCAAAAATAAGTCACTCCTACCATATCCTCAGGTATCAACTACTTCACTGCTTCATCCTTGCCCTTGCTGATGGGAGCTTCATTCTCTTGTTCGCAATGTCTACCACGATTTCCATCAGGCACTTGCGACCGCACCTGAGTAGGGGGTTTGCAGATTTATACCGAAAGGACAGATGGAGAGAAGTGAAAGATGCGAATTTGAATGGTATCATCGCTCACGGGGTATATATTAGACTACTATAATATAGCATCTCGAGCCGACGATCAATCCTTCCCAGCTAAGGCCTCTCCGACCCAATCCATCTGCACAGCACTGACACCACGCGCGTAACTACGGTTGGTGAATACGAATTCGTTGTACATGATTGCCTCGAGCTTTTTGCCGTAAAGCACACTAGACGGGTGAATGGCGACGGTTTGGTTTCCAACGATCGTACGATAACTGCCATCGGGCACGAGACGAGCCGTATTGGTCGCGAATCCAGCTAGGAAGCTCTGGAGAATGAGGATGGGCGAGGGGTCGTGTAGTGAGGTATTGTTCAGGGCTTCGTTGGTGAGCAGCTTGGCTTGTCGGCACTGGGTGCGGAGTTGCTTGCGGACGTCCTGTTGTGGCCTCGTTAGTTTCATATGACTGCTGTCCAATCATGTACTACTCACCATGACTGATTGCATCGCCCGGTGGGATACCAGGTGTCGCTCTGCCCATGCTTTACGGTCGGCGTGTTCAGCGGCATACACACGAACGGTCGTCAGCATTGTGAGGTGGTCACCCTCGCGCCGGTATAGATCACGACGGGCTGCTTCTGCTGCCTCCTTCTTTTCTTCCGAGGTGGTGTTCAAAAAGATGTTCTCCACACTGAGACATGAAATAATATCAATAACATCTAGCAAACATTCAGGCCCATTTTCGCCAGCTGCCAACAGTACACGTCCTAGAGTTGGAGTCAATGGTAGCTTGGCAATATGTAGGCCGACGGCGCTGATCTTTCCATCGTCTTCAAGCGCATTAATGTTCAATAGCTGCAGAAGAGCTTTCTCGAGTGCTTCGCGTGGTGGCCGCGTCAGGAATGGGAACCCAACAATGTCATCAACGCCACGAGCCTTCATGTTCAGTAGGGCTTGGCTCAGATCACAGCGCAGAATCTCGGGCGTGTTTGTCTCATCCAAGGCCAGATAGTCTTTCTCTGTGTACAAGCGGAAACATTGACCAGGAGCCTCACGACCAGCTCGACCCTTCCGCTGGATTGCAGCTGATTTAGAGATAGGCTTTACTAGGAGCGAGTCAAGACCAAGACGAGTTCGGAACTGCTTGACTTTGGCCTTGCCGCAGTCAATCACGTGCCGTACACCAGACACAGTGACAGAAGTCTCAGCAATATTGGTAGATAGCACAACTTTGCGCGTTCGTGGTGGAGCAGGGGCAAAGACCCGTTGTTGAGCAGCCTGTGGCAGCGCGGCGAACAGAGGTAGAACCAGGATCTTAGGAAGTGATGGGTCCATACCCATGGCGTACTCATTCACTAGGTGTTCCAATGCCTCGACGGTTTCCTGGCCAGTCAGGAAGACAAGGATATCACCCGGCATTGGTTCCTTCTGATGAATCTGAAAGATGATTTTCAGCGCTGCATCCACGAAGTCATGTACTGGCGCGGGGGAGTAGATAGTTTTGACCGCAAATTGTCGACCCTTAATACGGCAGACAGAGATATCCTTTGGACTCGAAGTATCCATTTTGTCGGCTTCAGCCTCGACTCCCTCAATAGCCTTCTGTTCTGGCTCCGGTCTTTTGAATCCTTGTTGGAAGAAGTCTGTCAAACTCTCCATATCAGCCGTAGCACTCATGACAACCACCTTCAGCGGCACACCACCTCGGCCCTCCTTCTTTCCAGATACAAGATTACGCAGGAATCCAAGTGTCAGATCCACGTTGATGCCTCGTTCGTGGACCTCATCAACCACAATAGCGCTGTACTTAGTCAAGTTGGGATCGTGCAACATCTCCTGGAGCAGCATTCCCTCAGTCAAGAACTTGATCCGTGTACTAGGCGATGTCGACGTATCAAATCGCACAGAGTAGCCGACTTTGCTGGCAGGCGAGTGCGATCCAAGCGGTGTACCCATCTCCTCGGCTACACGGCGGGCCAGCGAAATGGCAGCGACTCGTCTCGGCTGCGTGATAGCGATGCATCCTCCGACCATTTTCTTTTCCGTCTTCCCATCCCGCGTGATTTGCGTAGGTACGGGCCGACACCAGAATTCGTCTACCAAGAACTGCGGGATCTGCGTACTCTTTCCGCTACCCGTCTCACCGACCAACAGCATCACATCTTGTTCCCGTAGCAGATCGCGAATCAAATCAGCATTTTCGAATACGGGGAGCTTTCGCCGTGTCTCGAGGAGGGCTTTGGCCTTTTCTCTTAAAGGAGTGAAGTTGGTTTTGGTATCGGTGAAAGGTTTGGACTTCGACTTCGGGTGGAATTTTGTTGTTGATGGGCCGTTTGTTTGAGATGCTGCATGCGGCCATTTTTTTGGAACAGAGACTGATCTTTCTACCTCCTTGGCAGATGCAGGGATTTCCCTCGGTTCATCTTGATCGGCGGGGTTGGAGGCTTCGGGCTCATCGAGCTTGCGCTTCTTGTTTCTCTTCTTCTTTCGCTCGGGTCCTTCTGTGGGTTGAGATGAAAGGGTTTGCTTTAAAATCCTCTCATCATCCGACTCCGCGAACACGGTGCGAACCTTTTCTGGCATTTTGAGTTGAGACGCGAAAGAATGTTCACCAGGAAGCTCGAATCTGAAATTTTTGCCTTATCGATAAGATAAGCTGATAAACATTCTCCTTATCAACATCATCAGCCCTAGTTAACTAGCGGCCCTTGTTATTCATACTCCGATCATTTTACTTTCGTGGCATCGTGACACGGCACGAATGAGCTGTTTTAAATATATACTATAAGCAAAGAAAGTAAATTATGTGGTCATTCCCTTGTTCGAGTCTTTTGACTACAATATATGTAAAGTAGAATTAGGTTGGCGAAATTAAATTGACGCTTGATCAGTAAGACAAAATACCGAAAAATCTGGCGTAAATATCCTCCTTTAGTACCTTTATTTGCTACCTTTCGCTCTTTGCTTACAACCTTGGAATAATTAACACTATATGACTTTGATTTTGGTATCCTTGAACAGAGTGCTAGTTCATGATCGTGATTTATGTAAAGCTCTGTGATGGAAAATCGTGCAGCGTATTTTACCACACGACTATAACAAAAACCAAGGTCCCTGTTTAAGGCCTAGAGGGGCCATATCCCATTCTGACACTCTGGCCTATCTAAAATTTGGCTCTGCTGGAGGAAGAGAAAATCCCCGTGGTCTATTCTATTCACGCCGAGTCGCTTCTATGGTCTTCTCCGCATCAACCCGCCCTTGGACTCAAGATCTTTTTTTGGTTGTCCCTGCTTGATACTCTTCCACTCTAGAGTAGTCGCACCCAGTAGTGTCAGACACGAGAGAATCAAACCGACCTGAAACACCTTCTTGAGCGCTTCGTTGTAGGAGTAGAGAACCACGTCGTGCAGATGTGCCGGCATTGAATTCAGCAGCTCCGTGACACCACCCGAGGTGACAAGACGGGGGTTGAACCCCGGCAGCCCGGAAAGTTTCTTCACCAGCTGATTGGCCAGAATATTTTCCCCGACGGAGACAAAGATAGCTGCCCCGATCAATTGACCGAACAGCATCAGTGCTAAGCCAGAGGGCACGTCGGGCTTTGGAAGAACAGTTTGTGCGGCGAGATTTGGGACTTGGAAACACAAGCCCAGACCGATTCCGTAGACGATCTGATAACCGATCCATTTTCCTTCCCCGGTATCTACCTGGAAAGTGGTGAGGAGACCGGCTCCGACGGACATGATGCAGGATCCGATAATGGCCAATGGAGTGTAGTATCCAATCTTGGAGTTTATGATTCCACCACTGATTGAGCCAACAACCATTGATATCATCGTCGGTAGCAGACGGATGCCGGATTCCACAGCAGAACTGCCCTTGATGGATTGGAACCAGATTGGAAGGAAGTACACTGTGATTGAAGTCAGTAACATGAAATAATGTTTGATAGTGCGGTTTCATTACCAAAGATATAGATTCCTGATCCGACGCAGAGTGTCTGCCAGAAGCCTGAAATGATGCTGCGCTGCGAAAAGATGCGAACTGGAAGCGTAGCTGTCTTCGGAAGAAAGACCTGGACGACAACAAAAGAAATAAGTAAGACGCTCATGACAACCAGGCAAGCCACCACGCGGCTACTGCCCCACTGCAAAATGTCAGCTATAGTTGGAAATAATGGTGTACGGGACTTACAGCATACGTTTGGCCTCCCCATTGAAGTGCCAATATGAGACAGACCACGCCAGATACTAGAAATGTAGTGCCGAAAAAATCCAGTTGCAGCTTTTTTTCCGTCCAGGAGACCTTTGTTGTATCCTGCTTGGGGACCTGGAGGCAGAAGGCAATGAAGACGATGGCAGCACCACCAATTGGCAGATTAATATAAAAGCACCATCTCCATGTCACCTTCGACGTAAAGACGCCGCCAATCAAGGGACCCACGACAGAGGCGATGCCGAAAAGGGCGCCGAACAGTCCTTGAATTTGCGGACGCTTCTCAAGAGGAACGGCATGGATGATGCACATTATCTAAGTGAATCTTTTGTCAGCAATTGGCACAAAGGGTAGGGGCTAGAATCAACTTACAGTTCCAGCCAGTATTCCAGCAGCACCGACTCCACAGATTGCTCTTCCAATTATGAAGGCAACTGAATTCGGCGCCGCTCCACAAATAGCAGAGGCAAACTCAAACACTAGAATACTGACAAGGAAGACAATTCTGACAGAAAAGAGCTTGTACAGCTTGCCGAACAGGAGTTGAAATGCGCAGCATGTCAACAAGTACGAGCTTCCGTACCAGCCAACGTGGTCGAAGGAATTGAATTCATCGGTGATTTTGGGTATGGCCTATCAATTGCGTATCTCTCAGCGCTAGAATTAGACTGAATTCAATGTATCATGATCATACCGTTGAGATAATTGTTCTGTCAAGCGCAACTAGGAACATGGCGACAAAGGCCGAGACGATGAGACAGACAACCCTAAGGGTGGACTGGTTCTCAGGTGGGCCCGAAGGACCTGGAGAGCCTCCAGTTTTGCCTGGTGCGACATCTTTGACTGGTGCATCATAATGTTCATGCAACAACTCTGGAGCACCCATTGTAGCCGTTTTGGTGCTTTCAGATGTAGAAGTGCGTAGTGGAGACATACCACTAAGCAAGATGCGACCGATCGGTTATTGATGCGCGAGAGATAATCTTGTAGACCATAATAAATACCAAGGAAAGCTCCCATATTTAAAGGGGCCCAAGGGACAAAACATGGTCGGCGATTTCGCATTTTGCAGAGGATCAACAAGATGGTCGGGGGTTAGTAAGTGCGACGGTTAGCAAGTGGCGTTGCTTCGGCACTTATAAAACCCGACTTCCCCTTCCCGGTGTTTCTCTCAGTCAACCCAGGCTTCGGGGTCTAGGCTCTATTATTTGACATCTCTGACGCAACAGGATAATCTCAGGTCATGGCGACGCCAATCTCCCCATCCGAGCACACAGCCGCCGTCAAGGCCCGGCGCGTGCTGGCCTGCGTGCTGTGTCAGCAACGCAAGATCAAGTGTGATCGTACATTCCCTTGCGCCAACTGTGTACGTGCCAGCGAGCAGTGTGAACAGTCAACCCGCCAGCGACGCCGGAGGTTTCCTGAGAGAGAGTTGCTAGCGCGCCTGCGACGCTATGAGAGCCTGCTTCGCCAGCATAACATCGAGTTTGATCCTCTCCATACGCCTACTGCAAACCGTAGGTCTCCCAGCGAGGATGGCCAAGATGGACTTCCAGAGGGTGCCCACTCAGAAGGTGCTCTTCGTGATACGGATTCTCGCCCGTCGAGAGAAAAGAAAGCAGTCAAGCCTAAATCCTTGTATGAAACTCGGTGTTATTCTTCTCGTGAAACATACTTCTGGATGACTAATCAGTAGTAGGAATCTCTGGCATGCTATGAATCAAAAGGTATGATCGATCGCCTCTGTGAGTAATTGTGGGCTCACTGACAATTACGAAAGACTATTGATCCCAAGGATGATGATGGAAACGACGGTGACGACGACGATGAAAACGACACCGGGTTCCTCCACGACAATGTTGATATACGCCACGCCGTAATCAAGACCGCATGAAACCATATGTTCCAAGGCAAAAGCAACGACCACTTGTTCTTCGGTTCACCGGCAGGGAACATCGATGACCTTTCTGCTTCGCATCCGACCCAGGTACAGATCTTCAGGCTTTGGCAGATCTACTTGGATAACGTGAACCCTCTTCTTAAAGTAACGCACACACCTACCCTTCAAACACGTATCATCGATGCTGCTAGCGACATCGCCAATGTCGATCCCATATTGGAAGCATTGATGTTCAGTATCTACTGTGTCTCCATTCTGAGTCTCACAGAAGATCAGTGTATTACCTTGTTCGGATCTCCCAAAAAGGATCTTTTGAAAGCCTATCAGTCTGCATGCCAGCAAGCGTTACGGAGTTGTTGTATTTTACGTTCCAGTAACCGTGAGTGCTTGACCGCATTGTATCTGTATCTAGTAGGTGTGTCCAAACTTTTTGTCTACACTCACTGATTTTTGCAGGTGTCGACCAGGCCTGACACGGACCCTGTATCTCTCTCATCAATGCTTAGCGTTGCTATAAGGATCGCCCAGCGGATAGGCATTCATAATGAGTCGTTATACAGTAAATGTTCCAGTCTCGAGGCAGAGATGAGTCGGAGACTGTGGTGGTCGCTCATTATCTTTGATAATCGCATCTGCGAAATGTCCGATTATAAAACCACGTCGCTAGCTCCTACCTGGGACTGCCGTATTCCTCTCAATGTTAGTGATTTTGAGCTTCAGCCAGATATTAGAGCCCCACCCGCAACAAGCAACAGACCAACAGAGATGCTCTTTGCTGTTGTGCGCAGCGAGCTCGCCGACTTTGTCCGTCACAGCACCTTCCACCTCGAGTTTACCAATCCGTTTTTGAACACGACCGCCCGCCGATCTACCACCACAGACGAGGGGGAGGGACTTCTAGCGCTCGAGAAGATGATAGAGGAGAAATACCTCACATTCTGCAATCCAGAGAACCCACTGCATTTCATGACGATGTGGACAATGCGGGGCTATTTGGCCAAGAACCGCCTCTTGCAACACTACTCTCGATACTTGGCGGGCTCTGTGCAGCAGACAGCTACACAGCGGAACTCAGGCATCTCTCACGCACTGCGCATGCTAGAGTGCGATACCAACCTCATGGCATCGTCTCTCACCAAGGGATACCTGTGGCTTATTCACTTCCACTTCCCCTTCCCCGCGTACATTCATATCCTTCAGGATCTGAAGAAGAGGCCCATCGAGAAACACGCAGACCAGGCGTGGGAGGTCATGAGCAATAACTACGAGGTCCGCATGATGGATGCTAAGGAGGAGGACCGCCCCTTCTTTATCGTCTTCTGTCGGATTGTCTTTCAGGCTTGGGAGGCACGTGAAAAAATAGCGAGACAGCAGGAGACGCCCCTAGTGCCACCGCGGATTGTGTCGGATATCCGGAATAAAGTAATGCATATGATATCGAATTTCGGACAAGACGCGGACACAATGCAGCCCGGTGGTTCCCTAGGTTCCAATATGGGTGACCTGTCGATGCCTACTGAGATGGATTTCAGTGTTCCTGGCATAACATATGGTGCTGACTGGCAGGTTCCCACGAGTTTGGGACCGTGGGGGTATCCTGAGATTCCTGGGCCGAACTTAACGGACGTGGATGTGAATCAATTTCTTTTGGACACGATGGAGTGGAATGGGCTGCATGTACGAACGGGGTGAGAAAAAAAGAAATTCTCATTCGAGATGAGAATTATGCGATTTTTGTACCTGTTGAGTTAAGAACATAGTCAATTGAATCTAGGGGACCTCAGCTTGAACGTGCCTCGGATAGTATAATGTCCGAGCTGATAGCTCGGGAGTTAGCATGTCCGTTAAGTGGAGCTGCATTCCTCGCTGTGATTGGCTTGACTTGAGCTTGGATGCCCAGAAAGCCAAGGTTGGCGGCGCCACGGATCCACCCGTACCACATCGTGGCAAAGTCAATTGTATACATGCGGACTCCGAACCCGGCTGCCTGCAATTCTCTATAAAAGACACTCCCTATGTCTTCATATCCCCATCAGCTATCAGAGTCATAGTTTTACTTGGTACACTAAAATCGGTCTTTCAAATTACAACTTCAAGCATGTCTATCCGAGCCCTCAACCAGAACTCCCCCTCCTTGAACTTTGCCGCCAACGCGGAGGGACAGGGTCCATGTTGCCCTTTCTTCCGTCCTCACGGAGGCGAGTATCCTTACTCCAACAAATGGTATCTTCAGTCTGGCAGCGATCAACCCGGCCACCCAGGCCATCCTTACTTGTCTCCGTGGGCCGAAACCGGCGACAAAGACCAGGACAATGAAGCCAACGACAACAGCTGGGATACCACCAACCCTCGCAAGCCATACCAATGCCCAGGGCCCGCGGAAGTTTATCCTCCGCACAACTTTCCTAGCGCCTCTGAAGGCCGCAAGCCTTGCCCTTTCCCGGGCTACCCTCAACAGCCGTACACCTACCCAGTTCTCTTCCATGGTATCAGTCACATGCCCATCCCGGCCCTGCGGAGTGTCAAAAGCCATATCCTTCCCTCTGGAATGACGAGAAATCCCAGCCCTATGCTCGCAAGCCGTTGGGGTTCTTGTTATTGAGGTGCCAAAGACAGAGCCGGATGATGATGCCGAGGCTAAGAGGGTTGAGGTTGAGTAATTAGAGGTTTGGTATAGATAAAATAGTCAGTATTAAAGACTTAGGCCTCATACACGGATCTTCCTCCCATGTGTAGATTATCAAGAAAATGGAAATTTCGAGCTCAACTAATCCCCAGTTGACATATATTTGAATTTTTCACCTAAGGACCAACTTATTTGATTATGAAATTGTTCTTAATAAAAGCTAGTTATTAGAATGGTCTGGACAGTGAAGACGGGAATAGGTCCCGGGAGGCCCGAACCTTATTCTTCTAACCAATGAGAATTGATATTACATAATGATTCCCATCACAGACATCGAGCAAACCGAAGGATAAAAAAATCAGTCACGACGAAAATGGTATTACGGCCACATCTGACGAGTTAGAGGAGGGACCGACAAAACGGAAGTTAATCACAGGCCTGCCTTCAAATTAAAATTCTACCTGGCTTAATTCGTGACGATTGCGGAGCAAAGCGAAGCAATTAAATCAACCTCGTTGTTTTCTCCTATGAATCAATGCGGTGAAATATCATCGGCCAACTTTGGCAGAATAATCCAACCGGCAGAATGAATATAGATTAGATGGATATCGCAGGGTCCGCCTCGATAGCACTTGGGAGGCATCCAAAGCAGCCGTCAAAGCATTGAAACATGGAATCCAAGCCCTGGCTGATAATTATTATTTCAAGCGTATTACGGACTGGCCTGCTTCTTGGATGCATCCGAGTCAAGCGAAATGAAGATTCTGATATGGAAAAATCCAGAAACATGCAGATAACTGCCCGTCAGGTACTCTGAGAGCTCAAAGAGCGAAAATAACTGATAAATTGAAAGCATATATCCGTTTTAAGACCATATCTAGTCTTATAATTTCAATTAGTATGAGATTACATGGCGATAAACTCATAGTTGAGAGCTACCTAATTAGGCTTAGTGCCCCTCGATTTGCTTCCTAGACTTACCGCCCAAGGACTAGTACTATTTATCGTAATTCTGCCGATTTCAAACACGCATAATCTAAAATGCCAAGAAGCCACGTGCTCTCGGGCAATCCCTCCGCTTTGGCGGGGTTTGTATACCTTCATTTTTGCTATGGTGTAATGGTAAGATAGTCTGTAATTTCCCTACCAACTTATCTTTATTTCTATGTATTTGTCGATAGGGTCTCTCATTGGAAAATGTGAGAGCCATGCCAAAGAGTAAAGCGTCCGCGACACGTGATATATCAAGTGCGGGGAAGATAAGAATAAGGTTTATACCATTTTAGGCCTAGTGAAGGGGCTAGTGGCTTGATAAGACGTCAGCAGCTGCATTGAGATGTGGCATTGGCATATTGGAAGAGGAAAGTCACCGCGAAAGCCTGAGAAATTTTTTGCACTCGAAATGGTGTCCCACATATTGCAGCTCCACCAGGAACTGTGGTCTCACGAGTCACAATGTAATCCTATAAAGATCATCGAGAGTCGCTGAACTGAAGACCTGGATAGACAACAACAAGACAGAGATTCCTTATCTTGATTCCCCCGCTGACAATCTTACACTATGGGATCTATCGAGATCATAGAACAGCAGTACGATGTCCTTATCATCGGTGCCGGTCTTTCGGGTATCTGCGCACTACACAACTTCCGAAAGCGCTTTCCATCGTGGCGCGTTGGAGTTCTGGAGGCAGCCGACAATGTTGGGGGAACTTGGTATTGCAACCGCTACCCTGGAGCACGAGTTGACACCGAATCACTTTCCTACGCATATTCGTGGGACAAAGACCTCTTGAACGAATGGACCTGGGGGGAGTCTTTCTCCACCCAGTCAGAGGTGCTCCGTTATATTGAACATGTCTGCGACAAGCACAACCTTTACAAAAATATCCAGCTTAACACTCGAGTTAAGGAAGCCGTTTGGCAGGAAAAGAACAATACTTGGCTGTTTCGCGACGAAGTCGGCACCCATCACCGAACCCGTTTCTTCGTCAGCTGCATGGGTTTCCTCTCAACCCCGACACTTCCCGCCATTCCAGATATTGAAATGTTTCAAGGAAAGGCATTCCATACCTCCCGGTGGCCCAAAGACTTTGACATGAAGCGTGATCTGGCCAACAAGCGGGTGGGTGTCATCGGCACCGGCGCAACGGGAATCCAAATAATCACAGCGATCTCAAAAGAACCGAGCATCAGATCATTGAATGTTTTCCAACGCACGGCAAACTGGTCTGCGCCCCTACGGAACGAGGTGATTAGGCCCGAGCAGATGGAGCAGCACCGCAAAAACTACGGTGCCGTTTTCCAACTCTGCGCCAAAACACCCAGCTGCTTCATGCACCAAGCCGACCCGCGGAAGTCCCTGGAAGTATCTGCAGAAGAGCGGTTGGAGCTTTGGGAAGATATATATGCAAAGCCCGGTTTTGCCAAATGGCTAGGCACATTCAGCGACACATATAACAACCGTGAAGCAAACAAACTGTACTCCGATTTTATGGCCAGCAAAATTCGAGCCAGAATACATGATCCCGAGGTTGCTGACAGCATGATTCCCAAAGATCATGGCTTCGGCACACGACGTGTCCCTCTCGAGAGTGGATACTTTGAGGCATTTAACCAGCCTAATGTCCACCTTGTTGATCTCAAGAAAACGCCAATTGAGAGAGTCACGAAGAATGGTATTGTCACATCTGATGGCAAAGAGCATAAATTGGATGTTTTGATCTATGCAACGGGCTTTGACGCCATTACCGGTGCATTCAGCCCCATTGATTGGACAGGGAGAAACGGTCGCCCTCTTCTCGGCTTTAGCAACACCAAGCAAGGCGAGCAAGCAATTTGGGTTGATCACCGGCCCCGTACATACTTGGGCATGACGGCTTGCGATATGCCTAACATGTTCATGGTCCTGGGTCCTCACCAACCATTCGGCAATGCTCCCCGGACTATCGAGCACGCCGTGGAGGTTATTTCAGATCTCTTACAACACTGCAAAGACAACAGCTACTCCTATGTAGAGCCGACGGGAGAAGCTGTGAATGCATGGACGGAACACGTTGTTGAATGCAGTAAAGGTGCTTTGTCAAACGAAATCGACAGCTGGATGACCGGGGTTAATACGAATGTGAAGGGGAAGACTGTTAGAAGTGTTGCGAGGTACAGTGGGAGTGCCGTGGAGTATCGCCGAAGATGCGCTGAGTCTAAGGCAGCTGGTTGGAAAGGTTTGGCATTTGCTCAACTGTCAAGTTCCAAGCTTTGATATAGATAAATACTTATCAACTATCACCATTGAACGTATTGTTTACACTGCCCCATAAGCATACCACAATCAGAACGAATCAACCTCAGTCAGACCCCAAACTAGACAATAAACTGGCAGAAGGAGCAAAGAATGTCGTCCCAGTAAGCGGCTTCGAGAAATCAAGGATACGATCATGCAGGCCAGGAGGATCGCCAATAAACATACGCTCCATCATTCTTTCAATCACCCAAAGACGACGAGTATAGCCTATGAAGTAAGTCCCAAACTCGCCAGAACCAGGAGATCCAAATGGCATATTATCACGAAGAATATCATGCTCATTCCCATCTTCATCTTCAACCGTGGTGAGTGTCTTGTGAGAGCGCTGACCCGACTTGGCATCATCGAGCTCAATATTATCTATTTTGGTGCGGCCGATAATCCTTTCCTGCTGTTCCGTCGAGAGATCTTTCCATCCAGGTAGATCGTGACTGTACTTCTGTACGACGATATAGCTGCCACCCGCGGCAGCTGTATCTTCCTCTGCAACCAGAACGGAAGCCGGAACCGCCAGTCCAACTGGATTAGCCGTACCGTCCACAAATCCAAGAAGATCCCGGACATCAAAGTAACGAAAACCGACAGTCTCATCGATGACGGAGACCGAGTCGCCGAGTTGGTCCAGTAGCTGCCGCTCGAATTCAAAGCAGATATCTCTGCGCTCCGAGCGAATGTGGAAAAGCAAATCACCGCTGGTCGAGACCGCGGTGTGTTTTTCGCCTTTGACCTCACGGAAAGGGTGCAGCTCTGAGGGTCGGGGAAACCCCGTGAGACGATCCCAGATGTCACTTCCAATGCCAACGGTGCATGCAAATTGGGCGCTGAGGTCGCGGATGGATACATTTTTGGCCAGGCTGTCCACGCCTGCCAGTGTAGAGCGCACGTTTTCAATGGCATTGGACTTGTTGGTCACAGAGAGAACAAGGAAGGTAGCGAATTTCGTGAGCGGGGCGTCTACACGCTGAGGAGCCATTGGGACACGGTGGGTGTTCATATTTGCTTTTTGATATGACTTGGAATTGTAACAGGCAGATATGTGTTGTCTGCGGAATGAACGCCCGGTAAGGCTCGCCTGGTTGGTGAAATGCCGTTCTTTCCGGAATGAATTCCTGGAAGCAGCTCGAAAGGTATTTGAATGACCAAACCGAGAAATTGATAATTGAAGACGAATGTTGGGAATATTAGAGATGACCAGTCTCCCGGACTTGGTCATACTTCAGCTGCTGACAGTCTGGGGTACGGAGTAGACGAAGCTCCTCATCTGGTGTGAGTGCATCAACTGATTATATTCAGGAAGAAATGATTGGCCAAATCATGTTCTAAAAATATTGGAGAGCGAAGCAAGAAACCGGTCGATGTGACATTGTCGGTGGTGACATCACCAGCCGGACCGCGGGGAAATATTACGTGTGTCTCTATTCGTTCATGATTTTGTAGTAACTTGATTCTTGCAGATGTTATTCCTATAAACAAATGCGAACTCATCGCTGCGTGTACCCACCATCCACGAATAAAGCCGTCCCAGTAACAAAAGAAGCCCGTCCACCACTCAAGTAAACAACACCGTCGGCGATCTCCTCCGGCCGACCCATACGCTCCATTGGAACCGCATTAGCAACTTTCTCCTGCATAGCCGCGAAGATCTGGGGCGACTTGGTCGTCAACGGGGTCTCGGTATACCCAGGACAGATAGCGTTGATGCGCAACCCATCCTTTGCATAATCCTCCGAGGCAGTCCTCGTCAAACCAATAACCGCATGCTTCGTCGCAGTGTACGCAGTCGACAACGCAATCCCAGCGACGCCCTGAATAGACGAGAAGTTGACAATTGAGCCCCGCTGCAGTGGCCTGCCATCAATCGAAGACCGGATAGGCTCCTGCTTCAACATGATCTTGGCAGCAGCTCGCAAAACGAAGAATGTACCCGTGAGGTTGACGTTCAAGATACGCTCCCAATCCGATGTCTCGCAGAATGCAGCTCCGCCTGCGTGCTTCATTGCGATTCCGGCTGCATTGACGACGTAGTCGAGTCGGCCGAATGTCGTCGCGACTTCTTGGACGACATGGTTGACGCGGTTCTCATCTGTTACATTGGTGGGGTAGGTGATGACCCGGCATGGCTTTAATCCTAGTCCGCGCTGTTGTTCTTCGATCTCGGCTTTCACAGCCTCCAGGGCTTCAGGGCCGATGTCGAGTAGGGCGATTCCCGAGGCTCCATCTCTGGCGAATGTCTTTGCACAGGCGCGGCCAATGCCCGAGGCTGCACCTGTGATAAGGGCAATTCCAGATACATCCATTTAGGGTGGTTTGCGGGGCTTAGGATACTTGATTGATCTGCTGGTGTGCGTAGCCGGAAGGGTGACGGTGGGTAAATGGAACAGAGCAACTGAATATTGATGGTTTATATAGTTTCCCACGGAGAGACTTGAATAGACAGCGATGACAGCCCAGTATCTTTCTCCAAAAAGACTACTTTGATGCATGTGGGGTTGTCGCGGAGACTTGCCTAACTCGCGTCTGATGATAGCCGTGCAACCTATGACAACGCATCTCGGACTTGCTTTCCTATACTGTAGGGATTATTTAGTGTAAAGACACGTACTGCTGCTGATACATACGTTCAGTGCGGTGGTGTTGCAGCTGGTTGTCACCTTGGATTGAGAGCGGATTTCATACACCAAGTGCTAACATTCAATTTAAAATTTGGTACTAGAATTGATCAACGATCGGTAATTGTTGAATCATTTTGGCCTTATTTAATCATGTTCTATTGCTCTACGTATGGGGATATAGATATCCAAGTTTACAGTAATAGTCACTGACCATTGATGAACAAGTTTATAGGTTTATTGCCCACGGTATCATATTATAAATCAAAATATCTGATGTATCGGCATGGAGCCTTTCATTAAATCCAACCAAGTGACACTCTTCCCGTTAGCACAAGTCTTCTCCTGCCAAATTCGTTGAATATTGGCCAATGTTTCAGTGAAGCAAGACAAGCCACTACGGCGTGCCGAATTCACAAACCAGTTGGAGAATGATGCCTGAACCAATGGATCGTCGGCCTCACAGGCCGCAATAAACGCAGGCCAGATAAATCCTGCCGAGCCATGTACTACAGTAGAGTCCGTGTTCTCGCAGCGTAGTAGATGGTCCAACACGACCACGACCTTTTGCTGTAGCAAGGAAGCATCCACGTCGTAGATTCGACGGTAGAAATATATTGCCAGTGCATTTTGCATGGCATTGAGCATATTGTCTATGACTTCGTGGTCGAATTCAGATTGGATATTCTCCAGGCTGGGTAGTGGCAGCTTGTTGATGTAGTCTTCGAGAGTCTTCGCCCGGCTGATGAACTCTTTTAAGCTGATGCAGTTCGATGCATCCTCTCTTTCTGCCGCGTCCTTTTCCTTCCCTAATCGAATAACTTGGGATAGAAGAAGAACCCATGGTTCAGGGATACCAAATATCTCCGGGTATAGGGTGTTAGACCAGAAGCCAGGTCTTTCAAGATGCAGATCATTCTCGCCTTCCTCTTGCCCACGCACTCTCATCATTTCTTGGTCCAGATTCTTCCAACCCGATAAGCGAAATGACAGACTGTCGAGGCTGTAGTTTCCAAGCCCGCTGGTTTCAATGGCTGCGTGCACGTGATGACGCTGTCTTGAGTTCGCTCCACAAATGAAGACACTCTCATGGATGATACGTTCAAATACATAGCAGTGATGTAGTAATCGTACTTTTCGAGACTTTTTGCGCGGAAGTCCTCTTAAACGAATGAACTTTTCAGCTTCAACGAAATAATACTCCGATTCCCTTCGGCTCCCTGAGAACATCGTCACTTGGACCATGGTGAGCAATGCCATCAAGATTGACTTGTATTTGGCTACTTTCGGAAAATTGTAGGCGGTCATAAGCATCATTTTCGCATGTTGCTGGGCTTTTTGCTTGTAAATTATGGCCTTCTCGCTCCATGTTTGGGATCGAGAGACTCCCCCAAGGCTGAATGCACTTATGGCTAATGTCCCGTAGAAGGCACATAGACTGGCATCACTCATGTTATCACCAAGAACCAAGCCCGCGAGGCAGCTCTTGGTGTGAGGTATAAAAAGAATGTGCCAGGGGGTTTTAGAGTGTCGGAGGGGCGTCATCAGGCTAATTACAGCCGAAGCATAGTGCTTGAGAAGGAACACGGCATCTTGGGGCAGGGCTTTCGTGGTACCCGTTGAAGAAGTAAAAAGATTAGGTAATATTGGATGATTGTAAGACTGATCTGGAAGACATGATGTGGGTAAATATCCATGGGGTACTGGATCGTCTTCCACGGAATCTTGATCTATCATGGCGTCTAAACATACCAGGGAAGGCGGACTGGGAACATGCTCTGGTTGATCAAATGTGAAGTGCGTTAAGGACTGAGACCAAGGCGACAGAAGCATGTCGGACGAATTGCTGAATAGAACCACATCTTCCGGAGAACTGGACTGTGTCTCTTCAAAGTCGTTCATAGCTGGTTCACGCGGAATTGTGTCTTGACCTTGGTTTGATCTAAACGCCCCGAATGGACCTTGGTGGATCTCGATTTCCTCCGAAGTAGTTGCTCTTTCGCATTCTTCATCAATTTGGGATAGAATATGATGGGTTTTCTTTGGAGGAGCGCTTGAGACAAGCCACTGACTCATGCGTTCTCTTTCCTTCACTGTAAACAATGGTCGACGAAACCGGACCCCATGATTGCGTAGTGAGCTCTCAAAATCAAAGAAGATAACTTTCTTGTATCCCCCGCAAGCTAAGCCAAAATATTGACACATTGAACATTCTGGACGTCCTTCGTCGCATTTCACATGTCTACTTCGACACTATTGTGTAGGTTAGATATGCATTATCATGACTCAATGAGATCGGCGGACTTACTGTGACACACCCTGTGAATGAGCGCGTATGGGTAATGGCCTCGTGTACACCTTCTTGAGGTGAATCTGCCATCTTTCGGTGTTTGAACAAGGAAAGTGTTGTACAGGAGTCTGCGGGGGAAGTGGATCGGTAGATCGCCGATAGCGGAAACCTGCCTGTTTCGACGGTGCGCGGTCACTTTCCTATTAGGTTGGACTATCTATGCAGTAGTTGAAGGTCGGAATGTCGCTGATAATGTGTAATTCTCCGTGTTTCCCCGCCCACTGCATTGGGATATTCTCAATGGGCTTGCCGATATAATGAAAATGCCCTAAATAAGGCTATCCCACAACATCCGTGTTGATTAGTTCCCTTTCGCTCACTTCGTTTGTTTCAGGGCATATACTTTCGTGTCTAGTGACGACCTGGCCTCTTGCTGTAACAGTTTCTATTTAGCCTAGCTGCTAACATAACATCTCGGTCATTGATTTATGTCTTAGTAGATTGACCAACATTCAGTCGATCTTTATCCCGACTTTCCCAAAATGCCTTTGCTCCGACATATACTGGTATGCACTTTTGAGATCCTCGAGTCTGAAGGTCTTTTGATCCATCACAGGATGAATATTATGCGCCTCGACTGCGCGGTTCATTTGTTCAAACTGAGCACGCGAGCCCACTACAATGCTTTGAACAGTGCACTTGGCGCTAAATGACTCCAGCAGAGTAGGCTGGTCCCCGGATTTACTAACGTAACCAATGCCCGTAATCAGGCCGGCGATTTTGATAGCCGCCAGGGACTATATAGAGATGTTAGTGGATTGTTCGGGGTGTAATTGAATCAAGGACTATAATTTCATACCTGTCTCAGCGTACCTGGCCCACCGACCTCGAGAATGTGAGAGACACCCGCCTTTTCAGGTGTAAGGCTTTTAGCAGTCTTTCCCCAATCTGTCGTCGTTTTATAGTTGATGACATGGTCCGCACCAAGCTCCTTCAATCGTACGGCTTTCTCATCAGATGAAGTAGTCGCGATTACGGTCGCGCCCGCGGCTTTTGCGAACTAAAGGGAACATGGAAGTCAGTTTATTCAGCGGGATCCCTTGAGCAGTCGTCGCAATTGGTTTACCTGAATTCCAAAAAGACTAACTCCACCAGATCCTTGAGTCAAAACAACATCACCAGGTCGAAGAGGGTGATCAGCGCTGCCGTAAAGTGCATTCCACGCCGTGAGGCCCGCGCAAGTCAAAGTGCTGGCTTCTAGGAAGCTGAGGTTCGGCGGCATAGCCACCAGGCCCTCCTCGGAGAATACACCGCGCTGTCGAAAGGTCCCGTCTAAAAGGCCACCAAGCGCAGTTTTCATGGAGCGCTGGTCAAGGGGGCCAGCATGGTGGCCCTGGTTGAACAGCGTAATCACCTTATCTCCAACATGAAAACGAGACACTCGCGATCCGGTTGCCTCCACCGTACCGGCTCCATCAGATCCTGGAATAATATTGGCATTGGTTGGGTAGCGATATTCACCCTGTACGAGTTAAGTGGGTAAACCCCAGTGGTCGTAGCTCTCGTCCTGGACTTACTGTTGCTATAATCAAGTCACGGTAATTAATTGAAGCGGCGTGGACTACCAGAGCGCTAGGGTCAGTATTACTTTCAATCAACCGTCGGATGGATTGTCGGCGTACATCGGACTAGGACATCGTTTGGGCCCAAGTCGGGAATAGGAACATTTTTGCTGAAATGGAGACCGTCGAACCCTGTCTGTTTTTCGACCCTCCATTCATTCGTAGTAAGTGAGCCCATCTTGCAGGTGATGATTTAGCGAGAACAACAAAATAACATCTTAAGGACTACATTCAGTTATAGATCCATCCACGGACCTCTCTGGTGCTTTGTAATCTGATCAATGACCTCGTTGCTTTGTAATAGACGGGTGAATACGGCAGTCGAACTTGGTCCAATGGGGGGCTTACAGCTGATCGAATGTTCAAATTGGCATACTGGCCTGCGTTTGACCTCCCCGAAGTCATACACAATGTATACTCAGACTCTTGGATCGCGTGGGCGAAGGTTACCTGTCCCAAACGTCAATGACGAAGACAATAATTTATGATTGCGGTCCGCTAAAAAAGAAACAATATACGTCTTTGAGCAAGATTTGCTTGATGCTGGAAACACATCGCCAGAAGATATGACTCTGGATGCACTGCATATTGCAGCGGAGAAGGACACATGGCAATGATCCAGGTCTGTTTAGAGCGCACAAAGATGAATGACATGATGGTGTTTGAGGGTTCCCTCCGCTCAAAATGCACATAGTCCAGTCGCTTGATACCGACAAGCTCAATGTCAACTCACAGGACTCCCTCCCTGCGTTGGGCTCCTTTGCATCTGGCTGGTATGAATGGTCATTTTGCTGCTGTCATAGCACTTCTTGATCACGGAGATGTAGACCCCAATGCTGCTGATGAAGAAGAATGGACTCTGGCTTTTTCAGTCTTTCGAGAGAAACCATCTAAGTTGACTTTGCCGAAGGACAGACCGGTTTTTCCACCTGGTTGAATAGATCCAGACAAATGGGCACCTAACGCAAGTCGGTAATTCAGTGAAGCTGTCTACGCTTGGGTCACGATTTGAAGAGAGAAGTCCGTCATGCATGCTGGATGTTTCAGAAATGACGAGGTTATTGATTTTCTCATTGCCAATATAAGTCTCTCGAACATAGAATCATGAATTATGAGATGTCCCGGCCCAACATTGTCAATATCGAACATAACACAATGATGTAGCCAAGGCCTTTTGTAGGATGCTAGAATGAAAAGAAACAGGTGTATGTCATCGATGCCTGGAAACAACCAAGTCGGGCAGACGAAAAAAGGAAAAGCCATAACGCGCCAGGACCAGCCAGGAAGAAAAGCGGGTGAAAGATAGAAAGAAACAACAGTCAAGAAATGCTCCAATCAGGGCGAAAACACATCGTAGCCCCCCCAACGCAAGACAGAGTTATGTGTCCCATTTACATCTGTCTCAATCCCTCTGCAAGACGCCGCTTGCCGAACTCCCAGGCGTTCATTAGACCTTGTTCCGTGAGATCGATATTCTTCATATTGGGTGCATCTGCAGCCGGTGCGCGGCTGACACGCGAAGCGATCATGACCGGGTCAGTCTCGAGGATGATTCCGTCGTCGATAGTCTCGTCAATGGTCAGGGAGAGGAGGTCGTAGTTCTCAACGATAGTGCGCTTGTCGGTTGCGCCCCTGATGAGCGATCCTGTTAGCATCGGTCGAATTCCTCGAATTGGAATCGAAACTTGACATACTTGAATAAGATCCCCAGAGCATCTCGTAGTGACAGTACAACATTGTAGAGCAGGACCTCGTTCTCGTCGGCACTTCCAACAACGTAAAGCATGACGTCGCTCTCCATCTTGAAGACCACAATGCGGTTATCGTAAAGGATGACATCGCTTGCGGACTTGTTGGTCTTCTCAAGGAGGCCCTTCTCGAAAGAACGCTGCTCCTTCACGGTAGGGTAGGGGTTGGCACCGGGGTAATCAGTCGAGTTTGGTGCAGCGCCGGCGGGGGGGTGTGGTGCCGAGAAGTACTTTGCGTAGATGCGGGACCCATCGTCAGCGGACATGACGAGGACCGCATTTACGGAGAACAAGGAGAGAGAACCGGGCATGGTGAGTTTTGTGGTGGGAGCAATTGGGGAAATACTGTCCTTGTGCTTGTTGATGCTCTCAACCGCCAATCTGGCCGGAGGCGGAGACGCACTAATGTTGTTCCGTCTTCGAGCTCTATACTCCGTACGGATACAGTGACCACAGCACAGCGTAAGTGGGAATGAATCCACACTTACGGAGTATTCATCTCTGACATGGTACTAGGACTCAGTCGGCTTCGGGTTACTTGTTTATTAATCATTTGCTACATTGTCGGTACGATAACGATATAGTTGGCAATATAACCAACCATTCGTTGGCCCTAATACTACAACGGAATACTAGATTAAGTTACACATCTCAAGATTGGGGATATGACATAAAATGAGTGGAAATACATCATTGTGAAGGATACATGGGGAATAATATATATCAAGATAAAGATCATAATGTATGAGACTCCTTTCGAAACCACATCGCATGGGGAAACATCATGATCAGATCGCGTTAAAGGAAACATGAGAAATCAGGGACCTTGAAATATAGGCAAAACATTTCAAGACATGAAATTGCGTTATGTGCATCATAGGGGGGTATGGGTATGTTAAAAATATGGTCAAAGACCAGGTTAAGATCACATCAAATCATACTGCCCGGAGAACAAGGCCTACTGCGGCGCTGGTTCATCGCCGGCGCGATTCAACCACGGAATCCAACTCGCGCGGTTCGCCTTCTTACGTGCCGCTTCTTCCTCCTCCTTGATTCTAGCGGTTTCGCTGACAAGGCGCAGAGGGCGCAACTTGTCCTGTTGCATCACCGCTCCAGTGTAGTTGTTCATGCCGCCACTGGATCGAGGAGTGCTAGAGGTGGCCCCGGTGGAGGCTGTATCTCCGTGGGGATCGCTTGTCACACTGGGGGAGCTGCTGCGACCAATCCGCTCCGGCTGACTGGACATGGAAGGTGCACGGCTCATGCTAGATATATAGCTTGCTGCTCCGGAGAACATGCTCTGGCGGGATCCAGGGCCCATTGCAGTCGGGCTAATAGGTCCGCCGGAGTTGCGTCCGCCGCGGTACATGTGACCAATGACACTCGCGGCACTTGGGTCGACTTGTTCCGAGCGACTGCGACGGTGGGTGGATGCTCTCACAGACTGCGTACGGAAGGGAATGCTGGGCGCAGTGTTGGGGTTCTCATTGGGGTTGTTCTGTGGGGTTTGCGGTGGAGGCATCATGCTGGTTGGACGCGATCGAGGTTGGGTTGAAGGGCGGGGATTCTGACCACCAACCATCGACTTCGCTCGTTGTATGAGACCTTGTGACGAATCATCATCTTTATCCGAAGGAATAGGGGGGAGTTCCTTTTCACTGCCCCCGGTCTTCGTGGTGGAAGTTTCATCATCCTCGTTCCGGTCCAGTATATGCTCAAATCCGTCATGCATAAGCAGTCTGCTGATAATACGCTCTATATAGAGCGTCAGGGCTTTGTTCTGATCTTTCAGAGCCTTGACCTCTCCGTCCGGTTGTTGAGCAGCATCGCTTTCGGGCGCCTCATCTACAGATTCAAGCTCATCTGCCAAGGACCCCAGCCCTCCTGCCGACTCCTTAGTGGGGTTGGCATCTCGCATGAAATCGCCCTTGGCAAAGTCCCCGGTAAGAGTCTTCTCGCTGAGAAGAAGTTGATAGCTTTCATTGTCCTCCATCAAGCGAGCATTGGCCACGCGGGCCTCGAGCAAGTCCTTCTCTAGTTCTCGCTGACGACCGCCACCGTTCTCCATCTCGACGAGTTTTATCTGTGATTCGGCCAGTTCGAGGCGTAATGACTCGATGAGTTTGTCTTTCTGGAGGAGAAGTGTAGAGTTGTTGCGGGACGGGCTCCGCTCGATGTGCGAGGAGGGCGCAAATTGACCGTCCACGTCCGGGGAAGATCGATTGCGGAAGCTCGCTATAGCCGAGGTCAGTCTCTGGATCTCATCATCTGCGATTGTAGGAGCATGGGTGTCTTACAAGATCGAGAAACTTGGTTACGATCCCCTTCTGCATTCATGCGCATGTCCTTCTGTGCCATCGCGTCCTTCAACCGTTGAATAGTGGCCTGCATTTCCTCCTCCCGACTAGTCTGCTGTTCTTTCTCCTGAAGCATAGCGTTCCGCTCCGCCTCGTGGTTCTGTTCCAGATCCCGGATCTGACGACCCTGGTCCCGAATGTCACTGTTAAGGGCCTCGATCCGACTGTCTCGCTCATGAGCCTGGTCCTCCAACTTGGTTTGTTCACTGATCGCTTCATCGAGGCGCATTTGCAGAACGCCGAGCTGCTTTTGGTATTGTTCAGATGCAGTTTCGGCCTTTTGGAGTTGTTCCCGCAGTTCCTCGATGAGGGCGGCATTCTGAGCCCGCGCCTCTTCTTCGGAGGGGTCATTGGAAACTCGCGGTACGTTTGACATGCTGAGGTTGGAACGGCCAGGTTTTCTTGCAGCTGCGCGGGCTGATACGGGAGTCGAACCTCTTAAGGAAGGAGAACGGTTAAGGCTAGTTGCGCTGGGTGAGCGTGCGTGCCCTCGTGCGGACCCGTTGTTGGAGTGCGGATCTGCGGTTGATGATTTGCTGGAACTGCCGGGAGTTCCAGGCTTTCGAGGCGGTGCTGACATGATGAAACGACCCTTGACAGTCCGCTGGTGAATGTATAAGAAAATGAAACGTATATAGCCCCCTATTATACTTCAATTGGGAAAAAGGAAAGAAGATTTCAGGGTTGCAAGTGTATTTAGGAGCGGTCAAAACCTAGTGGACACCTTGTGGAGAGCGCTTGTATGGGAAGATTGAAGGGCCAGGAATGTGGTTGAAAGCTGTCACAGGCTGATTGCGTGCCACATGGTTGTTCGGAATTGGAGATTCATCGAAAACAGCGTGAAAGTCGGAATGAGAAAGGAATTGAGAAAAGTGCTGGTTGCAGACCTTCGAATCAAAGTTGTCTTGGGGAATGCGGATCCCTTACTGTATCTAAAAATACGCAACGGCTTGGAACAATACGAGAGAGTAAGGACTTTCTGGAAGAGGAAAAGAGAAGTCACAAGGGGAAATTTAGTGAAATAAGGAGGCGAAGTCGGTTGTTTTTCTTGTTCCACCGGGTCGACTGGCCTGCTGAGATGGCGTGGGCTCATGAAAGAGCAGTACAAAAGGGGGATAGATGCCTGAGGCCGTGTATCGGACTAATGTAATTCCATCTCCACAGCGGAAGTTGACACTTTGCTCCACTGCACCTGCGCACCTTGTCCCTACAACATATGCTGGAACAGTCGAGTTCGAGTACGGAGTATCTGTATACTACGTTCGGATGCATATAATGCTCGCCAAGACCCTAGGCGTCATCTCTCGGGCAACCATATGAGTCACTTTTGTTATCGCAAAGTTTAACAACGTGCATGCAACGGATCCCAAGTTGGGTATCTATCACCTGCACACTCCCAACCCCTAGCGGTCAGGCAACGACTCCTGAAAATGTCAGGTGACCCACGATCCAATGATGTTGAACTACCTATTTAGGTAGGTTCAATGTTCTTATGTATTCTTAACGAATTCAATCCTGGTTCTGGCAGGGAGGGCAATATGAGCTGGGTTTCCTTGAATTTCCCCGAGGTTTATGTCGCCGACACAAGAGAAGTTGTGTCATCTCAAAAAGGAAGTTTTCGCCCTCCCATAAGAGAATTGCAGTTTACCTCCTGCCCGTAGGAATCAACAGATTAAATCTAGTCACTGTAGTTTCCCCAGCATCATAAATCTGAACGATACATATGTATAGCTATGACAGCTGGGTGGACGAAACCTCCAAATATAGACATTTGAATACTTTCTAAGCCACTGTGTCTTCCTGAACTTGATCAACATCAGCACCCCATGGCACGTTCCCCGAGAACGACTTCTGGTTCTGATTGCCTGGTTGGTCTGCATCAAAGTCCAAACGGTCCGGGATCCTTAAACCGGCTGGGAAATGGCATCTCACAAACCATGTCGATACTCCATCCCGGTACAGCCAAGGATCTTCTGTCCGTCGCTGCCATGTTTCCAGTCTCGTCCTCAGATCATCGAGTACAGTAGCATGTTCTGGGTCTTTGGCAAGATTGATCACCTCATTTGGATCGTTCTCCAAATCATACAGCTCTTCTGGTGCGCGGAAAAAGTAATCCTTGAGCTTTCTCTGCCCGATCATAACCTCGCTATCTGATGAGTTCCGAATATCTTCCCAAGAAAGAGACCCATAGATGTCAGCCGCAAATGGAAAGTCTAGGCGCCATGCGAGGTTTCGGTGGTATTTGTATCGTCGATCTCGAATGAACCTCGTCGGCCAGTAGTTTGTGACTTCGTGGAAAGTATGTGAGCCGAATACTTGGTTCCACTCCGATTTTTGGGCATTTGTTCCGAGTAGCGGAAGCAACGAGCGTCCAAGCCGCTTCTTTGCTGGGTCCTCTACGCCCGGATGTCCAACATAGTCAAGAACGGTGGGGAGGATATCGACGTATGAGACCATGTCAGAGTTGACTGCTGGCTGGACATTTGGATGCTTGATAATAAGAGGCAACCGCACCCCTGCATCGAAAAGAGTTGTTTTAGAGTTGATGAAAGGTGGGCCGTTGTCGCTGATGAAGATGACAAGAGTTGATTCAGTCAAGCCAGCCTCTTTGAGAGCATTCAAAACAAAAGCGATCCCTTGGTCCAGGCGATGAATTGAGTTATAGTACTCAGCCAACTCGAACCGGACACCCGGAGAGTCGTTGATAAAAGGTGGAATCTCGACCAGATCGCTATTGTAAGAGCCCTTCTTGATCCGGGAGTCGTATTCTTGGTCGTTGCCAAATCCACCTCGTGTGCGATCGCGGTGTGGATCGTGGAAACCAATCGTCAAGAAGAAAGGCCTCTCATCTGCCAGAGACTCTTGGAAGAAGTCATTGGCTTGATCAGCGATCACAGCCACATCCCTCGTTTCACTCTCCTTGGCGACCTCCCAGGGATAGACTGCCACCGGTCCGACATGGATCTTTCCCAGAATACCTGTCCGATATCCGCTCTGATTCAGCAGCTGTGGTGCAGTTTCGACATGATCAAACGTGACAAAGTGATGGCGGTGACTGGCAAGTCCGTACTGGCCGTTCTGGTGGGTGTGCAGGCCTGTATATATGACGGAGCGGCTGCCACTACAGGACGCGGTGCTTGCAAAGGCATATTCAAATTTGGTACCTTCTGCGGCGAGATGGTCGATATTGGGTGTCTTGATAGTTGGTGTCCCGTAACAACCAAGTTGCTTACCAAGATCATCGGCGACCATCAACAGTACATTCTTTCTGCTTGCCATGATGACTTGGTAGATCGAGTGAAAGCTTTCTAGGCAGCTTTTTGGGGGGAGGACATGGAGAGAGAAAACCACCCGACTCAAAATATATTTGCTATTGGTGGATTTACTCGGTTTGAAACTAGCCTCATCTTCGCTAGGCTTGCTGTGAGCGCGAGCTGACACCAAGATGATGTGATTGCTAGTTTAGACCTAGTGCCGAGATTGGATACTATGCTTACCAATTCTTGGTCTTATTATGAAAAGACTAACCAGTTACTGACTAGTTAGTTATCAGATATCGATTCAAAATGTTGTCATCTGCAGGGCTCATTGCTCATCGTACTAACGTCTCAAGCAACCCACTTTTTTGATAGAGGTATACTAACCAGCCTATTTGACTTGAAAATAAATCACGCATAAACGATATTATCCGATTGAATCATTTCAGAGAATTTGCCTGTCTTGTCAATCGCGAATCGCGGCCGATACTAGTGGATGGAGGAATTATGGCGTCTTTCATTAAGAATATTGTGTTGAACGGACTGAAGACCGTATACAGACTAATTGTATTTGAAACAGTGCAGCTACTAAAACCAGGCCTCTAGCTAGAAATACCACAAGATAGGACTAAGAGTGAAAAGATATTGAGAACATATCCACCACGATGAAATTCACCAGTTTGCTTCTGCTACCCTTGTTGCGTATCACCGTTGGCCAACTCATCGGCCCCGTGGGTCCAACAACCGACCTTTATGATAAGACAGTCGAATGCAACATCCTTGATTATGGCGCTGTAGCTGATAACAAGACCGACATATCCACTGCACTAGAGACAGTTTTCTCGGAATGTGTTCGCAAACATCCGGGTAGCCGATTAATTGTACCCGAAGGAGAGTATTTGATCGAGCGAGGTGTGACTCTCAGCAATGGCACAAATTGGGCATTCCAGTTGGATGGTCTGATCACAGCTGCATATGGCGGCGACTGGAATATCGCGCGTGAGTTGATACTCCAAGGGTTTGCAGGCACAGAGATTATCAATGCAACCATCAACGGGGAGGGTGATTCTAAATTTTTATTAGATGTGCTCGTCATTGTCAATGGTGAGTTCACATCTCCAGACATCTTTGGAGCCCAATGTTGACAAAACAGCTGTGGATTTCGAGTTCTATTCTTCCAATGGCAAAGGTGCCTTTCAAGGACAGGGTTATCTCTACCGAAATCTCAACAAGTAAGTTATAGACCATTTTATGAGATGTTGTGAAGCTTATACATAAATTCCAGCACGGATCGCCCGCGCTTGGTGCGTTTGATCTCTCCGACCAACGCCTCAGTGCATGACTTGATTCTAGTCGACAGCCCCAAGTTTCACATTATCTTGGATTTTGCCGTGAATGTTGAAGCCTACCATTTAACCATCCGGGGAGGAAACCTGGGCAGTTATGATGGAATTGATGCCATTGGAACAAACTATTGGATTCACGACAATGAGGTATGCGTCTCAACCCCTGGTCTTCATCTTTCACCTGAACTAATGATCATTCTAGGTTACCAATCGGGACGAATGTGTTTCCGTGAAAAGTCCTTCTCATCATGCTTTGGTTGAGAACCTGGTGTGCAATCAAGCAGGCTCTGGTATATCCATTGGCAGTCTGAATGTATCTGCTGAAATATCCAACATCGTCAGTTTCAACCTGTCGATATCCCATCAAATGCTAATATTGCAGTAGGAAGCACGCAATATCAGCATTATCCAAGGCAACAACATAGCCTTCATCAAAACATATCCTGGTGGATCCGGCTACGTTACAAACATCACTTTTTCGAATTTCCGCTCTCTGGGGAGTCTTTATGGCTTGGATATCAACCAATACTGGCAGAATACGTTTGAGCCCGACACCGGTGCTGTTACATTGAGTAACCTGGTTTTCCGGAATTTCTCTGGTAAGTCATTGACAAATGTTAGTTCTGGCAGTATTCTTACAAAGTTTGTCAGGCTCTGTTGCCGATGGAGTGAAGCGTCCTCCACTTTACCTCATCGCGAATGATCTCACATACGCTACTAATGTCACTGTCGAAGATTTCACCGTGTGGACAGAACAGGGTACTTCGGTTGTGAACAAGATCAGCAATATCTTTGGCAATGGGGATGATAGCTACGGGTCAAATAATGGTATCAAGTCTCTCGGTGAAGGAGAATCGCCCTCACCTTATACCAGCACCTACACCATTACAGCATCTCCAACTGACTGGCAGGCCCCCACAACTCCTACGTGGGCTGTTCCTAGTACGGGTTATGGAAGTAAGCTCTCTCTCGGCTTCTTTTGTGTTTCTTGTCCTACCAGATAACTAATTTCTCTACAGCGGCATCTCCTATTCCGGTCTATACTCCAGCTCCTCTGTGGCGCCCAGGTGGTGTGGATTATGATTTGCATTACTGGGGAAGCTTCTAGGTGGTAGCTTATCGAATCGAGTATGCGACGATTTGGACACTCTCATTTGTTTACGGGGTATGTTCTATAGCGTCGCAGTGATCTTTGGTATGCGCGAGGCTGTATAGGTGTTATCTTTAGTCAATGCATGTAGAAGAAGAGAAAATCGATTATTCGTGGCAAAGAAGACAGATTCTTCCAAGATTTGAATGATATCTAGTATTATTTTCTCTAAGTTTGTAATGATCAACCTCAGTATTGGATAGGTCAAGGAACGCCGTTATCCCTACCTAACTTAGTACGTATTTTAACTTCAATGCACAATCACACCGAAGCATAGAATTAAGACCCCTTCGCATGGCGTCAGTAAATAAATATTTTGTAGCCAGAACTCGAGTCGGTTAATTAACAATGCCGTGAGGTAGAGGTCCGATGAACAAGACCGACTCGGGAGGGAGTGCCGATGTTGACAGTGGCGTTGGAATCCTCAATTCTGATAGAAATCCAAGGCGCTAGATATATATGTACATTATTGCAAGACAAGATTTTCCACCAATCTGAGCAAATTTAATTCAACTTTTCCACCGCTAGTTGCCTGGACTTGGCAGAGATTGATGCAATCAGGCGCTATCATGGCGCAAAAATATCGGCTAAATGTCAAGGCTTGTTTTCATTCATCAACGACAACTATCTTTGATCACCGAGCATCATTTAGACCATTATAGCGTCCTTTCCAAATCGCTAGGAGGAATTCACTATCTCTCCGTTGGGAGTTCCTCCGCTGGCGTAAATGGCATCATGCATATACTTGAGCACGCATTTTGTACCTTGCAGTCTGAGTCGGATTGATATTGTTCTTCATTTAATCTAATATAAAGTGTTCTATCTCAATGTATATCTTTGAATCCAGTACTCTCTGTCTCGTTCTTGATTTTCGACTCATGCGCCAAAGATAGCCATGGCATCGACATTTTCCAAAGAGCTTCCAGCATCGGATTCTGGGCCTCAGAATGACGATCATCATCACAAAGACGGTTCTGTGGTGACAACCCTTGCTGAGCCAGAGGAACAACGCGAGTCCCTGTCGCTGTTCGCTGCACTTTTCTTGCGGAAACGGAAAGTCGACCCAGAATCTATTGCAACAGTTCGGAGTGTGTTCGATGATCCTCTGTTGGCGCAATTTTACCAACCCCGTCCGGACTACGAGAATATTCACAGATTCGATCCGGAAGAAAGATGGACTCACCGTGAAGAACTCTCAGTACGCCGCAAGACCGATTGGAGGATTTTCTTGTGGATTCTTGTCATGTTTTTTGGACTCAATCTCGATCGAGGAAATCTAGGCAATGCCGCGGCTGATAACCTGCTCGACGATCTGAAGATCACCACCAACGACTATAACAACGCGCAAAACATGTATCGTATCGGCTTTCTCATTGCTGAGGTACCGTCTCAGATGCTTGGAAAGAGATTGGGCCCAGACCGCTGGATTCCCTTTCAGATCATCTTGTGGAGTTTAGCATCCGGAGGCCAGTTCTTTATGCAGAATCGCGCTGGCTTCTTCGCATGTCGCTTCTTCATTGGCCTGTTCATGGGTGGCTTCATCCCAGATGCAGTCCTGTACCTTTCCTACTTCTATACCAAGTCTGAGATGCCATTCCGTCTTGCATTGTTTTGGTTCGTTGATTCCATGTCAGGTGTTGTCGCCTCATTCATCGCCTATGGTGTTCTGCACATGCGCGGTGTGGACGGCCGCGAAGGTTGGCGATGGCTGTTTCTCATCGAGGCCCTCATTAGTCTCGTGATAGGATTCCTCAGTTTCTTATTCTTAGTACCGGGCCCTACCCAGACGAAGACTTGGTGGAATCCTAAGGGATACTTCACCGAAAAAGAAGAAAAGATCATTGTGAATCGGGTGTTGCGAGATGATCCGTCCAAGGGCGACATGCACAATCGCCAGGCTCTTTCCCTCAGCATGTTGTGGCAGAGCTTGATGGACTACGACTTATGGCCGATTTACATCATTGGAATGCTTTTCGAAATACCCACAGCGCCACCGAAAACTTATCTGACGCTTTCACTGAAATCGATTGGATTTAGCACCTTCCACACCACCTTGTTGACAATTCCTGTCACTGTTTTCGCCTCCATCAATTTGGTGCTTGTGACCGAGTTGACCGAGCGTTTGCAGGAAATCTCCATTGTCGGTCTTCTCACTCAGGTCTGGAATCTCCCACTTCTCATCGTCCTTTACACATCAGCTGGATCGCTATCAAGCTGGGGTTTGTATGCAGCTAGTTTCATACTACTGGGCTGGCCCAACCCGCATGCAGCACATGTTGGCTGGTGCTCACGCCTCAGTAATACTGTGCGAACTCGAAGCATTAGTGCGGCGCTCTACAATGTGACCATCCAACTTTCTGGGATTGCATCCTCGAATATCTACCGCAGTGATGATAAGCCATTGTACCGCCGTGGAAACTCACAACTCATCGCTATCAACGTCACTACTATGGTTGCCTATGTTCTGGCAAAGGTATACTACGTGCGCAGGAACCAATGGAAGAAAGCTCAATGGGATAAATTGACACCAGAGGAGAAGGCAACTTATCTGAGCACCACTACTGATCAAGGAAATAAGCGATTGGACTTCCAATTCCATAGTTGAGCACTGTCCCAAAATATCTGCTATATCTCTACTTTGGATCCGAGCTCATTGAGATGTTGTCTTCACTATATATCATACATCAAGAAGAAAAGAATTGTGTCGGATGCAGAAAGCTCACCGTGCATTATTTCAAGTTCAGCTATGTTCAAAATCTACGTAAAGATTCCTAATCAGATAAATACATCGGAGAAAGGGGCATAGATCTCTCATTCTAAGTAAACCTCCAATTAACCAAAGTATCGAATACACAGGTGTTCAATTTCATGGCCTTCAAGACAATGTATTTATCAGGATGTACATCAGTAGGGATAAGCTTGTGGATCAAAGGTAGGTCGAGATCTCAACATTGTTTTTACTTCTTCTTAGCTATACCTAACAAAGGACTCTGATTGTATCTTTATGTCGAGCTGGTATATTTTAGCTTCTTGAGCGAGCTACAGGTAAGAGAACATAAAATAATAATACATACAGTTCTACCGCAAAAGTCTCCGTACGACCCATACCCATTACATATATATCTCCGTACGGAGACTTTTGCGGAGGAACTATACAACCGAGATGCATCCAAGAGAGCGGGAGTGCTCCAAATCAGATAAAAGTGGACCGAAACAGGATTAGTGGGGAATCTTGTTGACCAATCAAAAATGTGGAGCTGTAGCCTGGGCTACGGCCTGAGGACTAAGGCATTAAATAGGGTTAAACCCTTTTGCCACAGTGCTGCTTGGAAATCAAGACCCGTGACCACAGCGAAACCCTCTTTCTCTTTCTCCTTCCGAACCCTCGACAACCACCGACAACCTATACCCAGTTCGCAGGAAGTGCCATCACCACCCTTCCAACACTCAAAATGGCCCGCCGTCCCGCGAGATGTTACCGCTACTGCAAGAACAAGGTGCGTGCCGATTCGATTTCGCGAGCTTTGAAGATTTGTGCGGGCTACCTTGGTGGTGGGGAGTGTGCATCAATACATCGCCAACGACCACCTCACCATGACCGGAATAGCACATTTATTCTCATGCGAGATATGCGTGGCACTGGTTGTGGAAATTTTTGGGGAAATTTTTTCTTTTTTTTAAGGTCCGCAGTTTTCGCTGACATCAGTCTTCAACATCCAGCCTTACCCTAAGTCCCGGTTCAACCGTGGTGTTCCCGACCCTAAGATTCGTATCTTCGATCTTGGTCGTAAGAAGGCCAACGTGGATGACTTCCCCATGTGCATCCACTTGGTTTCCAACGAGTACGAGCAGCTGTCCTCCGAGGCTCTCGAAGCCGCCCGTATTTGCGCCAACAAGTACGTTACTCGATCTGCTCCCACATCTTTCGCCTGACATTCATGGACATGTTCTCATATAACTTTCAATAGGTACCTTGTCAAGATCGCCGGTAAGGAAGGTTTCCACCTGCGCGTCCGTGTGCACCCCTTCCACGTCGTCCGTATCAACAAGATGTTGTCTTGCGCTGGTGCCGATCGTCTGCAGACCGGTATGCGTGGTGCCTTCGGTAAGCCCCAGGGTCTCGTCGCCCGTGTGAACATTGGCCAGATTATTCTGTCCGTCCGCACTCGTGACGCCCACCGTGCTACCGCTCTTGAGGCCCTCCGCCGTTCCCAGTACAAGTTCCCCGGTCGCCAAAAGATCATTGTCTCCAAGAACTGGGGCTTCACCCCCGTCCGCCGCGAGGAGTACCTCGAGCTCCGCGACGCTGGCAAGCTCCGCCAGGACGGTGCCTACGTTCAGTTCCTCCGTGGTCACGGTACCGTTGAGGAGAACATGAAGCGTTTCCCCGTTGCCTACGAGAATGTCGCTTAATTGTTGATGGGTTGATCAGAATATGAAGTTCAGAACGAAAATACTTGAGTGTTCTTATTGTCTTTACCTTGCCTCATTCCTCTTGATATCAATCTCGTGCAATCGCAATGATGGAGTTCTTCCGGGAGTCTTTTCATTTGCTCGCCTAATTGCACTCGTAGATCTGTTTATCTACCTGGGCAGTACCGTAAACTATGTATTATTTTTGTTGCCAGCCCTGGAGTGGGCAACATTTGCGCTTTCGATCATGCACGGATCATGCGAGGTGCAGTCATCTGGTGGATATCATTCTTATCTAGCAAAACTAGCAAAAGTCTAGACCGAACTCCATAGTGGGCTTTGTTCAACGATCAGCAGGAATATGGGTCACGTCACCAAGACTGCAGCATCACCCCCATCATACAACATGTCCTGCGGGCTGTATTGCTGATTTCGTGGAGTCTTCATTCATGCAGCTGAATGATTAAACGGTGGGCAATTCGAGTGCAAAAATTAAGGACAGACCAATGTGAGGCCTAGGATTTAGCATATATATTCTAAGGTTAGTATTACGCACTTGCATTCACCGCTATCATTATGGCTAGATTAGGTTTACGTTGGCAATTAGGAATTAGATCAAGGCTCATTCATTGTTCCAATCCATTATATCCATCCTTTCGAAAAAAAAAAGATCGTTTGGACATCAAAGTATATATAACCTCCTTACTGAGGCGGCGACCCACCACAACGTTTCTTGTGCAATTCTCCAGCAACTAAAGGGAAACAATTAGCCCAAGTCTTCAAACAATTATAATCTCACAGAGACCGATTGGAAAACCAATAGAAGCAAAAGCGCAATGTGTGAGGAGAATATACCTGTCAAGTCTGCCGCAGTACAAGAAACCTTCAAACAGGTACCGAGCGTATCCTTGAACGCTGGGCTTGGGCAAGTGCACTTGTAGTCAATAGAGGAGAGACAGCCTGCTACTGCAGAGGCTTCGTTGAGACAACGAATCTGTTTGAAATACGAAAAGGTGGTCAGTCTTCTGAGTCAAGTCATACATCCTGGTAAGAGACATACAAGGCAGGGACTGGCATCATCCAGAGGATCAGCGACGGTCCATGACAGGAACGCAGCCAGCGGGAAGAAAATAGTGAGCTTCATGTTGGATTGGTGCGAAACGTGGGTTTAGTAGTGGTATAATGATAGAAGATTTGGAGTATGAAAGTGGAGGAGTTGATGAACACAGGACGGCCTTGCTCGGTTTATCAATAGTCAGTATATTTGTGTAGTGATAGGAGAGACAGTACATTCTTCGTCAAATCGGTATCTCAGCATCAACAAACCCGGTGCCTGGGTGATACGTGGAATGGGTTTCATTGGAATGTGAGACCAGCTAAGCTTCTGAAACTGTCAAGGTTACAACGAGAGATAATCGATTGGATACCACGTCTATTTCTTATCCAGTCGGTACATATTAGCATGTTGGCCTATCTGAATGTCGTAAGCAAAGTTAGATCCAAACAATACGGTCTTGATTTTTGTGATGTGACTTCTTGGACACTAGGGAGATTCTTTTGGAACGGCCACAATCCTAAATAGGACACCACTCTTGATTCGCTAGATTATGAGCGGCTTTATTTATGGGAATACCATCGACTGTAGAGCTCCAATATCCTCTATCCATGTGCATGCATGTTGCTTAATTTCTCGGAACGACTTACGACAGGCCCCACTACTACATAGCTTTGGTTTCAGTACTGATCTGCTTGTTCCTTATTCAACGGTATGTTGATTTCAGAATGGCAGGACTGAAAACATTCCATTTGATGTCTCTAGGTTCGGGATATTCCGGGGACATTCCATTCAATTCGATATCCCCGGAGCAAGAAATCGAGACGTCCAGTGGTTCTTAGCAAGTTAAACACCAACCGAGGGGAATTCCCATCGAAAGTTAACCATTTCTGCAGATAAACCAGCCTATTGCTGATAGTCCCCTGACATAGTCCTCGCCGGCTCTCGTACCTTCAGAAGAAAATCAGCCGCAGACCAATGCTTAGTGTATGGGATGAGGATACGGGGGTCTTCAGTCCTGTCATTATCTACTTTCCTCTTTTCTTTCATAGACGAAAGAGCTGAAGTATATAAATCATACGCGATGGCCGCTATTCCCACTATTCCAAATTAGGACCCCGAGAGCAAATACCGGGCTTTGATTGGTTAGATTACATACACCGCCAAATATCCCGCCTTGACCAAATACGTAGAGCTATCCAATCTCCTATATTTCTCTTATTATATGCTATTTTTCCTAGATCTATATGCTGTACACTGAGAAATTCAAGTCCAACTCAGAGGTACAAGTCCACAAATTTACGCGGTCTTCGGGATCTACATACCTATCACAGGTGAGTGGGGTAGATGTCCAGTTTTCTGCTGGGCAGTATTAACTCGCATGGTCGCAAAGCTAGTCCACGGGTTCCAGCCCCGCATACGTCACCCTCAAAAATCCTTTTTCTCCTCACAAACACAGCTATGAAGCAGAGATTCTCATCTTTAGACGTCAAGGTATCTTCAAATATGTGTCGAAGAAGATATCACACTAACAACCCCAGGTCATCACCCAGGAATTGGCGTCGGAGTGTGTCAACCTCCGAGTGTCCAACATCTACGACCTGTCCTCGGTACGCTCAATTCTTTTCTCTATTACCATGGAAGGACGGCGAGCTGATTATTTATTCCTATTAGCGTATATTTCTTTTCAAACTCGCCAAGCCGGACCATCGACGCCAACTCATTATTGACTCCGGTTTTCGTACTCATGTCACTCAATATTCGCGGACCGCGGCATCCACACCATCGCCCTTTGTGACCCGTCTCCGAAAGTACCTGAAGTCTCGTCGGATTACAGGCATCACCCAAATCGGAACTGATCGCATCATCGACTTCTCTTTTAGCGATGGCGCATACCATATCTTCCTTGAATTCTTCGCCGGCGGTAACATTATCTTGACGGACCGCGAATACAACATTATTGCTTTCTTTCGCCAAGTTGCCGCCGGTGTTGGTCAGGAAGAGATAAAGGCCGGACTCAAGTACACTGTATCTAATAAACAGAACTATGATGGGGTTCCAGACATCACAGCGAATCGGGTTTTGCAAACACTGGAAAAGGCACAGGGGCTTTCTGCCCAAGAGGAAAATGCACCAAAAAAGTTCAAGAAAAAGGGAACGGATGTTTTGCGCAAGGCATTGTCGCAAGGCTTTCCTGAATACCCTCCCTTGCTTCTAGACCACGTCTTTGCGATCAAGGAATTCGATACTACAACGCCACTGGATCAAGTCTTGGGGAGCCCAGATCTGTTGCAGACTGTGAAAGAAGTGCTAGAGGAAGCGCGTCGAATTTCTAACAGCTTTGATTCTGGTGGCAGCCATCCAGGCTACATTGTTGCGAAAGAAGACACGCGACCCATCCCGGAAGGAGAGACATCGTCAAAGGCCCCGGGTCTGCTCTACGAAGACTTCCACCCTTTTAAACCTCGACAGTTTGAAAACAAACCAGGAATAAAGATCTTGGAGTTCGAGCGCTTCAATGCCACAGTCGACGAGTATTTTTCATCCCTTGAATCTCAGCGTCTCGAGTCACGATTGACAGAGCGTGAAGAAGCAGCCAAGAAGAAGCTCGAATCTGTGCGATCAGAACACAAGAAGCGGATTGATGAGCTCAAGACCGTGCAAGAACTTCACATCCGTAAAGCGGATGCTATTCAGGACAATGTTTACCGAGTCCAGGAGGCAATGGATGCTGTCAATGGGCTCGTGGCTCAGGGAATGGACTGGGGTGAAATTGCGCGCCTGATCGAGATGGAACAAGATCGCGGCAATCCAGTGGCGCAAACCATTAAGTTGCCCCTCAAACTGTACGAAAACACGATCACTTTACTTCTTGGAGAGGCCGGTGACGATGAGGATGAAGACGAGGAGTTTTCTAGCAGTGATGAATCAGACTCCGACTCAGATAACGAAGCAGAACAAGAGACAGGTCGTGCGGAACGAGAGTCAAATCTATTGACCATTGACATTGACCTTAGTCTGAGCCCATGGGCGAACGCATCGCAGTATTATGACCAGAAGAAGCAAGCTTCGGAGAAGGAGCAAAGGACAACGCAGTCGTCTACGAAGGCACTGAAGAGTCATGAGAAGAAGGTGACGACCGACCTGAAGCGAGGCTTGAAGAAAGAAAAGCAAGTTCTTCGACAGGCTCGGACGCCATTCTGGTTCGAGAAATTTATCTTTTTCATCTCTTCGGAGGGTTACTTGGTCATAGGGTATGTGGCTCTATTCAACACCGTTTTATGAAATCTACTAATCCTAGTAGTGCACGTGATGCTATGCAGAGCGAATTGATCTACCGTCGTTACTTGTCTAAGGGCGATATATTTGTGCACGCTGACCTCGAAGGCGCGACGCCAATCGTGGTAAAGAACCGAGCGGGCAGTGCAGACGCACCAATCTCTCCAAGCACACTATCTCAAGCCGGCAACCTTTGCGTTGCTACTTCCACTGCTTGGGATTCTAAGGCTGTCATGTCTGCTTGGTGGGCGCATGCTCATCAGGTATCGAAAATCGCCGAGAATGGCAGCGGAATCATGCCCACGGGTGTCTTTCAAATCAAGGGAGAGAAGAACTTCTTGGCCCCATCGCAGCTGGTACTTGGATTTGGTATTATGTTTCAAGTCAGTCAGGAAAGCGTTCGGAACCATAAGCAGCGATTTGAAACACCTGACATTCCAAACGCCGCTATAAATCCTGCGGATGAGACTGAGGCTTCTGAGCCGAAGGAAACTCTGGAGCCAGAAGCCTCGGGGCAGACAGAGGCCACCGAAGAAGCTACCGAAGACGCAGAGAAGGAAGATGCGGAATCTGAAGAGGAAGACGAAGATGAGAAAGCCGCTACTAGAAACCCTCTCCAACGAGGCAATTCCGAGCTCTCGGTCTCTCAGCCAACTCAAGAATTGGCGTCTGAGTCTGAGTCTGAGCCGGAAGAAGAACCGAAGGATGAGCTGGAAAAAGAAGTCGGAGAAGTTCAGGGAGAAGAAGCTACACCAGCAGCAGGTCAAAATTCTGTGCCCGAGAAAAGTGAAGAACGGAATTTGAACAATCGAGAGCAACGTGCCTCGGGACAAGGCAAGCTTCTTGGCCAGGAACAACCTGCACCACGCATCACCCCCACTCGCGGTAAGCGAGCGAAGGACAAGCGCGCTGCTGCCAAGTATGCTCATCAAGACGATGATGAGCGAGAACTTGCTCTTCGGTTGGTGGGTGCCAATAAGGGCAAAGCTGCAAAGGCGGCCAAGGCAGCTGAAGCTAAGGAACAGCGTGAACGAGAGGCTGAGGCGCAGAGGCAACGACGACGGGCCCAGCACGAGCGTGCTGCCGAAGCCGAGCGCAAACGCCAAGCCCAGTTTACAGAAAATGGAACGGACGATTACAACGAGGAGACAGCTGCCGCCGAGGCTGCGGATCTCACATGGATTCCAGCATTGGTGGGTACACCAACTATAGACGACCAAATAATTGCTGCTATTCCTGTATGTGCCCCGTGGGCTGCCCTTGGACGCTACAAATACAAAGTCAAGCTACAGCCGGGCTCCGTGAAGAAGGGGAAGGCCGTCAAGGAGATCGTTGGTCGGTGGGTGTCCGAGACCACCACCGGGAAGGTCAAGAAGGAGCATGCCGAAGATGTCGGGATCTCTCGTGTCGATGCTGAGCGTCTTCGGGAACGGGAAGGAGAGCTCATCAAGGGCTGGAAGGATACGGAGATTATCAACACTATGGTTGTGGGCAAGGTGCGCATCATGACTGCAGGAGCTGGAAGCGGCGGCGGTGGTGATAAGGGCAAGGGCAAAGGTGGAAAGGGTGGAGGTGGGGGTGGAGGTGGCAGAGGAGGTGGTAAGGGCAAGAAGAAATGATTGGGTCTTGTGTATGTATTAGGAGCACATATATTAGAGCATTGTATTCAATTCAACCAGGATATACGAGATATCCTAATTGGTGTTGAGCCGATGTATAGTTATCAAGCCTGGTCTCTTTATGACTGCTGATCTGCCACAACCCCGCTTCGACCCGTTCATATATACTTATTTCAACCTCATATACTATGA